GCAGAACCAGCGCCGGGCGTGTGGCATACACGGGGCGGCCTGGCCCTGTGGCACCGCCATGCGCACAGGCCACAGGCCACAGGCCTGGCGTTCGGAGGTGGCCCAGACAGTGTTCAGAGAACCGCTGGTCCCAGCCGGACCCAGCACCCTGGCCAGCCAGGCCTCCCAGGGATGGGGCTGCACAGAGGGCCAGGGGAGCCAGAGCAGGCACCGGCGCCCCCGTTGGGGGAGTCTGGGAAGGCTTCCTGGAGGAAGCACGTGAGCTGGAGAGAGGAAGTGGGGGTGCAGGAGGCGCGGGTGATGCAGAGAATTGCCAGAGAGGACAGGCTGTGCGGGGGGGGGGGGGGGGGGGGGGGGAGGCTCTCTCTGAGACAGCTCTCCTCTGGGCGGGGGGAGCAGCAGGAAGTTCTTCACCGCGATGCCCCTTCTCTGAGGAGCCCCCCAGGCCCCATACCTGCTCCCTGAGTCTTGGCCCCTGCAGCCGGCACACGCCAGGGCAGCCCTGCCTCAGCACCTCCTCCCAAGCCCCTGTCCGACCTGGGCGGCGCCCATCCCTTCAGGAAAGGGGGCTGATGCCTCCCTCACATGCTGCTTCCCGGGGCGGGAGCCCAGCTGGTGTCAGGCTTGGGAGCAGTCAGAGGTTGGAGGCCAAAGTCGCCCAACCTCCCTGGACCGCTCAGGCCGGGTAGTTAGTTGAGAGCAGGGGCTCGGGGTCAGCAGACCTGCCCTGGGTCCCAGTCCTGCCGCTGCCCAGCTCTGCTGCCCTCCCTCTGCGCCTGGGGGTGGTCAGCCCTCCCGCCCTCCGAGGCTGCTGGGAGGGTGAGTGAATTGCCGCTAGCCCCTGTGCGCAGGTGGTCTCTCTCCCTGCTCTGAGGGCCGCAGCGGGCGGCTAGGTCAGCAGCAGGCGGCCACACACGGCCTGCGTGAGCACCAGGCCCCGATTCCCTTTGGAGCCCAGGCCTTTTGCCCCGGAAATGCCACCTCTGGGCACCAGGCCCCGAAATGAAAAAACACTCCATCCAGAGTCCCAGACCAGGGTGCGGAGGGCCAGCAAAGACGCCAGCCCGAGGGGCCCCCGGGGACCCGCAGCCGGAGGGAGCGGTCCCAGGGCCTCTGCGAAGAGGTGAGAGGGCTGTGCCTGAGGAGGCCCAGAACCCGTGGGGCAACGTGTCAAAGGTCAGACCACACCCCCCTCCCGTTCCCCCCCACCAGCAACCCAGCTCCTGGTGCGGGAGGTTCACATGAGCACCTCCCTCCGGTGCACCTGCTTCCCGCCAGGCCTCTGGCTTCTGAGAGGCTGGGTGTGGGGGCTGATGTGGTGGCCACATCCACCCTGACCGAGGGCAGCCGCTGCAGACAGGGGGGGTGGGGGGGGCAGGCTGAGGTGCCAGGCGGGGGCGGCAGCGGGGAAGGGGCTGGGCCTCACGGGCATGCATCCTGCCCCTTCTTGCCCATCCATGAGGATGGACGGCTGTCTGCTCGCTGGGAGGGGCTGCGGGGTGGCGGCTCTCCTGAGGGTGCCCCCCCCCCCCCAGCAGACCCACCCTGAGGAAGTGCTCACGTCTGTGGTGGTGTGGTCAGACCGCATGTGCAAGCCCGTGCCTGTGCCTGCCTTAGTCACCGCCCCCGCTGCACCTGACGCATCCGTCAGAGGACAGTGAGGCCCCATTATCCGCGCCCAGCCTGACATCACTGAGCCCCGGGCACGTTCCCACTCCCCGGACGCCCAGCGGCACCGGAAATGGCTGCGCGATGAATGTGTGAGCGGGTGGGTGGCTCGGGGCCTCCCCCCGTGGGAATGCCGAGCAGTGTCTGAGCGGGGAGGGAGGGGCGCTGGGAACTGGGCTGAGATGGAGAAGCAGCAGAGGGAGGCGAAGGGTCAGGAAGGTCAGGAGGAGAGAGATGGCACTGAGGACACAGAGACAAAGCCAGCTCCGCCCCAGAGAGCTGGTGTCCGGGAGCGGGGGGGGGGGGGGGGGGGGACAGGCACCCAGAGCTCAGCCAGAGGTGGCCGGGGCAGCACAGGGGGGCGGGGGGCGAGTGGGCAGGAGCAGAGGGGATGTCAAACGCCGAGGAGACCGTGAGTCCGAACACAGGGACCACGAAGCGAGGACCTGGGACTCAGGGTGAACGCAGAGGAAGCACGGCCCAGCCCAAGGTCACCCAGGGAGGCCCCAAGGTCACAGTAGAGCCAGCCAGGACCTGGACCCCGTCCCCAGGCAGGCGCAGTGCTGATGAGGACACTGAGGGTCAGAGAGCCACTCAGCCTGGGAGGGCCTGTGGGGGGGCCTCCCCCTGAGGCTGCCTCCCTCATCCTGTGCTTGGGCACACTGGCACTGCCAGGAACTTACTCAGCCTTCGAGGGCCCAGCCGCCAGCCGGGCACCGCAGGCTTCCCCAGCGCTGGCCGAGGGCAGTGAGAGCGAACAAAGGCCCAGTCTCTGCCTGCCCAGGCTCCCACCCCCCTCGCCCGCCCCTGGCACAGAAGCACCAGGGCCCTGAGGAAGTGCAAGAGCTAAAGCAGTAGCCACCCCTTTGCCAAGGATACAACCATCCCCCCCCTCCGCCCCCTGGGCCTGCTGGCTGCACAGCAGTGCCCACATTCCAAGTGAGGGGTAGGAGCTGGCGGCCACACAGCCAGACGAGGCCAGGCCCCTCTGCTCAGAGCCACCCTCCAGTTTGCACCGTAAGCTTGTCGGTGTGACAGTTCTATCAGGATCCCTCCAGGTAGAGGGGGCAGGGAGGGCAAGAGCCTGAAGTGACCCCTGGGAAAGGTCACCTGGAAGGAAGGGATCAAGTCATGTGAGAGGCAGGGAAGGGGAAACTGAGTCTGTGCCCAAGCCTCCTCGTCCCTGACATGGCCACTCAGTCCAGTTAGAGATGGAGACAAAGGCCCCTCTGAAGCCCCATCTCCCCGTCTGTGACCACTGGGCTGTCACCACTGGGCCTCACTCCCCAGGCCCGACACCATCCTTCTGCCGGCCCTTCCCAGCTCCCTGCAGGGCTGTCCATGAGCCCGAGGGCCTGGCTGGATGGCCAACTCGCCCCGTAGGTCCAGGCTGAGCAGGAAAGGGACACTGGGTGTCTGGGCGACTGGCCCCCCTCAATAGAGATGGGAACAGGCTCAGGGAGCTGAGGGACCTCAGGTCATCTCGTTCCACAGGAGCAGCAGATGCCCGGTTCCTGTCAGGTTTCCTGTCCCACTGGTGCCCGTAGCTGCAGGGGTGGGGAGGGTGATCAGTGTGCACCCCATCCCACCCACAGGGCCCAGGGCTGCAGGGCAGAGCCCTGGGCAACCCGGACAACGTCCCAGCAGACAGACGCCCCAAGCCTCCTCCCCAGCCAATCAGCGAAAGCCGATGCCCGGCCTGCAGTGCCTGGGCCGTGGATTGCCCACACCCCGCTTCTCCCGAGGCGTGGCAGTCCTCCTGCTGTGGGCACCTCCGACTGAGCCCAGCTGCCACCGCACACAGGACAGGCGCTGGGGTGCTGGCCTGTGGCCCCTGAGACACCACGATTCATTTTAAAGAAAAAATAATATTTATTTGCAATATAAACAAAGTCCCGTCGCTGGCTGGGATATGTGTGTGTGTGTGTACATATATGCAGGGTCACAAATTTTCCTTCATAAGGTCATAAAGCAAAACTGGCCCTTCTTGGCATACTCTCAACTTACACAAACTGATGCATCTTTCTGGGTTTTTCTTTTTAAAAGTAAAAAAGAGAGAAAGAGAACCATGTACAGCATGGAACCTTTTTGTCAATTTCTCGACTGTGGCAAGATCTGAGTCTGCTGCCTGGAAGAATCCCTGAAAACAACCCCGAGGTAAAATGCCGTGGGCAGAGGGGCCCGGCCGCCCGCTCCCCGCCCTGGCCCCACGCGGTCCCGCCAGCCGGTGGCACCGAGGCTGGAGAAGGAACAGAACCGGAGAGGCGAATGGAATCCGTGGCTTTGTTCTGTGGAGACTTGGGGGTGGACAGAAACCTCCACCCCTTTCACTGTCCACCCTCCCCCGCCCCTGCGCCTGCGGGACGGAAATCGGACGGGGACAAGGTTCCTGGTCGCAGAAGGCATGGGCAAGGTGAGCGCTGAGCAGGCCTCACTGGACAAAGGGCTGGGAGTGGCAGCTGACCCAGAGCAACAGCCGGGGGGGGGGCTGACACCTGGAGGCAGAGCGGGGCACCCCGCCTGAGCTCCCCCGGCCCCTGGGCCTCACTGTTACCAACAAACAGAGAAAGAGACAGAGTAGTGGGTGTGTAGAGAAGGGGCCCGGCCCAGGCCCTCCCAGGGGCCGAGCCCAGAGGGCTAATGCTGCTGCTTCTGTCCCATCCTGTGGACCCCTCCCGCCTTCTCCCTCAGGCGGGATAGCTCCCTTTGCGGTTAGTCTGCGCACCGGCTGCTGTCACCGGCGTGGGGCCTGGGCGCAGGGCCGGGCTGGGGGACGTGGGGGTGACGGGTCCCCCTGGGAGGAGGGGCCGCTGCAGAAACAGGCTTCACGCATGTGCAAAATGCATTTGGTCAAGGTCAACGCGGGGTTCGTCTTTCCCATTAAAAAAAGAAAATAAAAAGTCAATAACGGCAATTTGGAAACAAAAACAAAACGGAGAACACTTCTCTCTCTCAGGATCAAGAAAGGGATGAAATACTGGTTTATACAATCCACTGCTGCATGTGGCCTGAAAATAACACTTTTCATTAAAAAAGAAAATCAAGAAGAGGTGGCCTTGGTGCCCGGGGCTTGGTTTACCTGCCAAAGTAAAAAGTAAACTGGGTCCGTGTGTCTTTAAAAACCGCCACTGGCTGGGCGTTCGTAGGAAGGGTCCTGCAGGCGGGACGAGGCCCGTCTGGCTCTGCAGCCCTGAGTCCGAGGCCGGGCCCCCCGGAGTCCGTGCGGGGGGCGCTGCGGGGCTCCGTCCCCCGATGGGGCGTGCTCAGCGCCCGTCGGCCTGGCCTGCGGGCACAGGCGATGCCCGGGTCCCGGCGCCTGCCCTGGGGCGGCCTCACGTGGACTCCAGGGTGTTGAGGGGGAACAGGTTGTGGTTGGGGGGCGTGGAGAAGTGGAGCTGCTCGCTGGGCGTGCGGTTGTCGCACGGGCTGCTCAGCCCCAGCGTCCGCTCGAAGTCCAGCAGCTGCCCCATGAAGTTGAAGTTGGGTGAGATGTTGGACTTTTTCCTCTTGACGAAGTCGTAGGCGTCATTGAGCGACAGGTTCATCTTCTGCATCAGGTAGGCCACCGTGACCGTCACCGAGCGGCTGATGCCCGCCAGGCAGTGCACCAGGACGCCGCACTTCTTGGAGCGCGCCTCGTCTGAAACACACGGCAGGGTCAGGCGCCCCCGAGGAGCGGGAGGGCGGGCACCCGGGGTGGCGTGGGGGTGGCTCTCCATGTGGCGGGACCGCGGGGACGGGGAGGGCTCTGCCAGGCGCCAGCTCAGGCCCCTGGGCACCAGGCCTCAGCTGCTCGTCCTCAGAGCAGGCCCGAGAGCCGGGCTCTTACAGGGACCGAGCCAAGTGGGGCCCAGACAGGGCTTTGGACGGCAAGCCTGCTGGCCCCCCCGAGACGTCACCGGCACCCTCTCGGTCAAGGCACCCACGGCCAGTAAGCTGACTGACAGCTGAGGGACAGACACAGGGACAGAGCGACAAGCCCCCGGCCACAGAGGCTCCTCCCATGTCGCAGCACCAGCTATGGCCAGCCCGTGACCACTTCCCGTGGGCACCCCTCAGAAACGGACAAGGGGCCCCGGCCCACAACTGGCTCTGGCTCGCCAGGGTGGAGGGTCTCACAGGTGGGGTTTGCTGAAATGGACCCCTTACTACCCTCCCCCAACCACCCAGGTTCTGCTCCCGCCCCCGCCCCCACCCCACTCTCAGCTCCTCTGCCTCGGAGAGAAGGAGCTCAACAAACACAGGTGGAGCCACTGGCCCTCCCCTGTGATCCCCCCCCCCCCCCCCCCCCGCCCCGACCCAGGGCAGCTGCCCCTGTCCCCGCCACAGCTGTGCCAAGTTCACAGGTTAACAAGAGGCAGCCGGGGGCCCTCAAGGCTCCCACTCCCCTGCCTGTGAGCTCACTGGGCACCAGGCATACAGTTGGTGCTCAGTCAGTGCACTCCTACATGATGACCTGGGGGTCACAGCCTGTGGCCTGGCACAGCTTCCCCTCCCTCCCCTGGGGCTAAGCATCAGTAGGTGCTTCATCCGGACTGTCAGGGGGCGAGTCCAGCAGGGGAAGCCAGGCGCCGGGGCTTCCCGGGGAGCTGTGGTCTGACCTTGAGGCTGGGGGCAGACGGCAGGTAGACGGGCCTCCGGTGGTGACAACACCAGGATATGGCCTCGCCTGGCCCCCAACCCACTCGGTGGGATCCAAAGTGAAACCACTTCCGCGCTTTATTTTTAGCCTCGGGGTGTGGCTGCGCAGTGGGGGCCTGGTGCTGGATCCTGTGCCTGGGCCTCCATTTCCTCCTCGTCAAATGGGGAATAACTGTCCCCATTAGACCCTGTGCTGCCCCCCCCCCCCCCCACACTGGGGCTTTCAGGAAGGAGAAAGGCCTCCAGAAGCCAGACTCAGCCCGGAACCCGGGTCCCCACTCCCCTCCCTCACTGGGGCCGGGGCCGGGGCCAGCACAGACAGCACACAGCGGGGGAGGGGTCCTCCCGGGCAGCCCCAGCCCCGCCCCTAGGCCTCCGCTTCCTTCCTTCCTCCCAGCCAGGCACCTAGTTTTGGTTCCCAGTAAGCGGATGAGGCGGGGAAGCCTCCCACTTCCTGTTATTAAAGCCAGCCCAGCCCAGCTGACACCCAAACGCCCTCACAGGACACGGCCGCCAGCAGGAGACTGCCTGGCACCCTCCCTGCCACCGGAGGCGGCACAGGCTCTGGACACAGCCCCGGAGAAGCCGGGTCCCCATTCACCGGTCCCTTCCCCACTCCCTGGGTGAGGCCCCCCATCCCCCAAGCAGCCCCCAGCTGGCCCAGGAGGAAGTAGGATGGGGTCAGAGATAAGGCGGCTCTTGGAGACCAAGTCAGCTGAGGCTGGGCTGTAGGAGGCTCCAAGCCGCACAGCAGAACACGCTGCTCTGGGGCGCCTCCCTCAGCCTCCGCCACGTTCTCTCTACACTCCATTTACTCCGAACGAGCACGCTGGGAGCATCTGGGGCCCCACCAAGGCGCTCGGGATCCCCATGTTCGAGCAGCTGCCTGTGTGGGGTAGGCCTCTGGCTCCAGACCCCGTGAGCTCGCTCAGGTGGCACCGTGACAGCCCCAGCCACAGACACGTGTGCCGGGGCGTGAGGCAGAGCCAGCGAGACCCGTGGGCGGGCTGTGAGCTGTGATGTTCCGGCTCCTTCAGCCTCCACAGCAGCCGGGAAGGCCAGGCGGCCCAGGGGGCCCGCGGTGCCCGGGGCCCAGGGACTGCTCAGACTCGGGGGCCTCGGTGAGTCACAGCGGGCAGGGGTACACCCATGGGCACAGGCTGGCACATGCAGGGCACACACAGGCCTCGGCAGGCCCACAGGTACCCAGTCGGGCGTGGGCTACACCCAGAGTCCTGTGCGCATCCTGCCGCGCCTGCCCCCTCCCCGCCCAGAGCGCGGCAGCACCTACCGATGAAGCTGATGGCCTCGGGGAAGAACTGGGAGAGGTTCTGGCTCCAGTGGTCGGAGATGGGGATCTGCTTGTAGGTGAACTCGCCGCCGTGCTCGAAGGCGTTGGGCAGGTTGGGCGTGACGTTGAGGATGTACTTGATGCCGTACTTGCCGAGCACGTCCAGGTTGGTGGAGTCCTTGGCGCAGCCGAGGTAGAGGTAGGGCAGGATCTGGACGGGGAAGGCCGGCTGGCTGGACGGCACGGGGCTGCCGTCCGACTCGGTGGCACTGCTGGGCAGCTCCCGGTCCGACTCCCCGTCGGAGCAGTCGGAGCTGATGCGCAGGCCGCCCAGGCCCAGCACGGAGGTGGGCGGCGAGCTGCTGGGCGAGGACGAGCTGTCCACGTTGGTCTCGCAGTGCTCCGAGTACTCTGTCTGGAACTTGTTGAAACCACCTGTGGCCAGGGCAGGACAGGGCCTGGGTGAGAGGCTGCCCGTGCCCCTGTCCCCGTGTCAAGCACCATCACAACAGCCAACACGGGCTGTGCCAACAAGTCACACGCGTGTACCTTCTCCTGTGTTCCCCATGTCTGTGCTGTGACCCACTTCCCAGATGAGGAAACTGAGGCCCAGGAGGTGAAGGAACATGCCTGAGCCCCAAACCCTTCCTCGTTAGGCGTCAGGCCCAGCCTCACCACCAGCATTAGGGCCCGGCTCCTCCCTCCTCTGCAGCTCCTCTGCGCACCTGGCCTGGGATGCCCGGGAACGCTAAGTGGTAGGGAAGGCAGACAACCCAGGGCAGGCGGCACCAGCAGGTCCGCAAGCCACTTTCAGAGGAGACTGCAGAGGCCGAGCTGTGTCCGGTTAGCAGCAGAGGCCGAGTCCTGGATTGGGGAGTCCAGAGCCTGCCCCCACCCCCAGCCAGAGTCTGCATGGGCCGGTCATCTCCCCCTGGGGGGGGGCAGATCCATAGGAGGCCCAGCTCCAGCTCCAAACCCTCCCTCAGATCACAAGACCCCCCCAGCCTTGGGCCCAGGGTGGGCACCAGGGGCTCCGCAGGGAGGAGGTGGGGAGCGCCTGCCGCTAGGCACCCGCCGCAGACCGACCCTCCCTCCGCCCGCCCGCCCGGCTGCCAGCGAGAGGCCATTTTGGAATGTTAATTGGAAACACCGGCTGCAGCCACTGGAGTCCCCCCCCACCCCCCCAGCGCTCTCCCTCTTCGGCAAACTCCGGGCAGCAGCCTGGTCTGGGGGCCCCGAAAACTAAGGCCGCGCCAGGAACGCGGCTCACAGCCCCCGCCCCGGGGCCTCCGAGGCGGGATCCCCAGCAGCCGGCTGTGCGGGAGGCTCGGTCCCCAGTCCCTGTCCCCAGCTCGGTCCCCAGCTCCGGCCGTGACCCTGGCCTTCCAGGGACAGGCATCCCGGCCGGAGGAGCGGAACCTGGTGCCTCTGGCCTTTGCGGGTCCCAGGCCGGGTCCCTCCCTCCGCCCCGGGCTCCGCTGGAAGTTGGGCGCTGCTATGGCGCCAACAACAGTTAAAAGGGAAGCCCCGCGGGGGAAAGTTTGTTCCGTCCTCTGGAATCGGACCCAGAGAGGGGTGCAGAGGCGCCCCAATCCCCCCCACACCCCCCCCCCAGGCTAAACCTTCGGGCCGGGCGCCCGGAGGGGCGGAGAGGCCGGGGGCGACGTGGCGCCCGGGGGCAGGCTGAGCGCGGGGAGAGGAGCCGCCTCCGGCGGGGGCGTCGGGGGCCGCGGGGACCCCCAGCCCGGCCGGGCCCGGCCGCCTCACCTTGGAGGTAGTAGGCCTGGCAGCCGTCGTCGCGCAGCTTCTGCAGGAGCAGGCCGAGCACCGAGGCGGGCGCGCCGGGCTCCGGCTGCCACTCGGCCGTGGCCTCGTCGTAGAGCAGCACGGTGGCCGCCTTGCAGCGCGTGGCGAAGCGCTCCTTGTCGGCGTGGTTCGGGATGATGGAGCGGATGGGCAGGTTGCCCTTGCGCAGGCGGCGCAGCATGAGGCCCGGGATGGCCAGGTTGATGGCCGTCTCGATGTGCGACGACTCGAAGAGCTCGTGCGGCCGGCAGTCGAGCAGCAGCAGGGACGCGCCGCCGCGCGCCTCCAGCTCCTCCTGCAGCCACTCGGCGCTCTTGCTCGGCATGGTCCCCGCTCCCGTGGCCGCGCCGCTGCCGGTGCCCGCGCCGGATCCCGCCCCGGGCTCCGACCCCGCCCCGGTGCCCCCAGCCGCCGCCGCCGTCCCCGAGGCCGACATGTGCGCCCGCGCCGGGGGGCCGCGGACCTGGTTTTTCATGGGGCGCGCGGGTGGCCCGGGGCCGGGGCCGGGCAGCCCTGCCCAGGGACGGCGCCCCGGCCGCGCGGGCCCAGCCGCGTCTCCCGGCGCCCGGCTCCCGCCTCGCTGCGCGCCCTCCGCCCCGGCCTCGCGGCCTCCCGGCCTCCGTCCGCCCGGCCTCCGCGCGCGCCGCGGCCTGACAGCCCCAATTAAACGGCGGCTCCCGCGGCCGCGCGCCCGGGCGTCCTCCAGGGGGCGGGGCCACGGGCGGCGCCTGGACTTAAAGGCGCCGCGCCTCCGCCGCCCCTCCCCGAGGGGTCCGCGGGCGCGCACGCGGCCCGGGCGCCCAGGCCCCTCCCCCTGGCGGCGCCGCCGCCCGGAACCCGCTCCGACCCGCCTAGAGGGCCCGGCCAAGGTGCCCTCCGGGGTCCTCTATACTCGCGCTCCCCACCCTACGGCGAAGGGCTGCCTTGGGGCGTCCTGCGCGTGAACAGAAGCAGAGTTCCCCGGGGGTGGGGCGGTCACGCTGAGCCGATCCCCTCCTCCTGTCTGTCAATCCCACTCGTTCATCCTCTCAATGAGTTCATTCTACGAGGAAACTGACCGCCTACTACGTGCCAGGCAGTGTGCTTAGGCGGCCACCGTTTTGGTGACTGCGCGGTCCCTGAGACGGCCACAGGCTCCAAGACCTGAGCGAGGTCTCACCCCAGCCGGCCTGGCGGGGACTCTGCACCTCGACAGCCGGCGGAGCAGGACGGCCCAGGGCAGCGCCGTCCTCGGCGGGCAGGAGTGGAGAGATCCTGAAAGGACCAGTCTTAGGAGGAGCGAGCCCTTTAAGAAAGCTTTCCCGGCGGAGTGGTGACAGGCGCCGAGCGGAGCGCCACGTGACTTTTGCACTGGGGCGGGTGGACGGGGCATCGCTCCCTTATAATCGGCTCTTTTCCTACGCCCCCCTTCCCAATGCACCAATCAGCTTTCGTGGTGGGCGGGAGCGAGTCGCGCAGATGGCCAATCGCGGCCCAGAGAGAACGTGGTGGGAGGGGGTGGGGCCCGCTGCGGGTTCCACCCAGCGCGGGGAGTGGGCGGGGCCAGCGGGAGCGGGCCGCCGTTGGCCGGCGGGCGGGGCGGGGCGGGGCGGGGAAGGGGCCGCAGGTAGCGCTGGAACAAAGCGGCTCGACGCGAGCGGCGCGCGTGCGCAGGGGCCGCCGCGCTTTTCCTTCGGAGTCGGGCTCGTCTGCCCGTAGGGAGCTCGCGGCCGGGCCCGCGGTCAGTCTAGACCGTCCCCTCCCTGCACAGCGCCGCCATCTCCTTTGGCTCACCCCTCCCGCTCTGTCCGAGGCCAATGGGCTCACAGCCACCAGCTGGAGGGAGTCGGGCTGTCGGTTGGGGGCCGAGGCGCTGAGATTTGCCTCCGTAGGCCGGAGGGGTTGAGCTTTCCGCTGACCCGGAGGCGCAAAGAGAGTGGCCCTGGAGGAATCCCTGCGAAGGACGGTCTACTCGGAGGGCTTCCTCCCGCGCCACCGGGCTGTCTCGCATGGAAGCAGGGGCCTCTCCTCTGTCAGCCCCAGGCACCCACAGCATGACAGTCAGAGATGCTCTATCGTCCCGGGCTGTGCGGGCTGCTGGGTGGACCACCTTCCTGGGGTCCTAGGACCTGTGGGGAGGCCAGGACCCAGGTTCTGCCCTGCCCCTTGCTGCCCGGAGTGCGGTTGCCACCTATCTGGGCCTGTGTTTCCCGGCTGTAGAAGGGCGCTGGCCAGCACAGCACCCAGCCAGTGTGCACACACCTCTCTGCGAGCTTGCTTCTCCTGGGCCAGGGCAGGCGCTGGTGGTCAGGGATGCAGGCAGCACTCAAAGAGGCGTTCTGAGAACCTCGGGGCGGGAGGGACCTGCTGGCCAGGGAACCGTTCAGGGAGGAGGAACTGCCCTGCAGCAGTACCGGAGGAGGGACTGGCCAGTGCTCTCACTAGTGGGGGCACAACTGAAATGACCTCCCCTGCAGCCCAAGTCCCTGGCCCCATGCACGAGGGAGAACCACCCTCACATTGCCTGTCTCGGCTCCCCTCTCCCCCTCTGCACTCCCCCGGTGGGGACAGACCCCCTAGAGGAGGGACTGGGGGGAGCTGGGAGAGCCCCGGGGCAGATGTAGGGAGGCAGGGTTTGATAGTGCAGGAGAGCATATGGGGAGGGGCGGCAGTGAAAGCACAGGCGTGGAGGAGGATGAACACGGCCAAGGGCGGGGCCACAGGCCCCCATCACAGGTTCCTGAGCGAAAGCCCAGCCTCCAGCCTCGAACAGCGGGACAAGCGCATAGGATGGGTCAGAGGGTCGCCCCTGGGTGTGTGGGGCAGGGGTGGGGGGACCCGGAACCCTCTGATATACAAGGCCCAGAGCCCAGCAGGAGCCTGCCCAGGGTCGGACAGCAAGAGGCTAGTGTCCCTGCCCAGGGTCAGGACGCTGGGAGCGGGGGACAGGCCTTGGGATCGGAGACAGGCCTCCTTCTCAGGACTGGCCGTTCCTGCCCTCAGGGGCGGGCCCCTGCTCACCCGCAGCCCCGGAGCGGTGCCTGCCCACAGGCCCCCTCCTCCTCCCGCCATCTCTGCGGCATTCCTGTTCACCCGGGGCCAGGCCCGCCCTGCGGCATGCTGGTGCCTCGAGCCCTAAATGAGTGCTGGCCTCTTAGGACAGGAGGGCGAGGGCTGACCGGCCTTCTCCCCTCCCCGCCTCTTCCTCCTCCTCCTTCCCTTCCTCTTCTTCCTGCTCCGCCTCCCGTGTGTGCCATTCACAGCGTGGGCCCGTCTCTGAGAGCCCGGGGACGCCCGTGGGGAAAGCAGCGTCTGCTCCTAAGAGGCTTAGACTACTCTTGGCGACACAGCTCCGGGTCACTAAGGCACGCAGACGGGCATGGGGTGCGGTCCCAGCTCACATCCATCACCCACCATTACAGCCGGGGGCGTGCTTCCCCGGCCCCCTGGAGAGGGCAAAGGGGAAGAATGAAGACAGCCCGCTCCATGTGTGCAGACCTGGGCCCGGAAATGCGCGGGGCAAGGTGTGGGCCCCAGAGCGGGACAGACCAACAGCACTGCTCCCTCTCCCAGCTCCTCGCCAGCAGGGACCCCAGGCCCTGGGTCAACCTCCCCACATGGGTTCCCCCACGGCCACTCTCCCAGCCACACACCCAGCCACCACTCTGCAAGGCTTTGTCCCTGCAGACATTACCAGTCCATCCCAGCACTTTCTCTCTTGCCGAGCCATCTGCTGGCTTCAAACCCCTTCTAAGCAGGCATGACCAGTTGATTGACCGTGGTGGACAAGCGATTTCAGACCCACGTGCTAAGGCCTCCGTTCATAGCCAGACCAACCAAGGCCTCTCTGTCCCCACCCCCAGCTCACTTCACCCTGACCAGCTCCCTCCTGCGCCCCAGACTCAGCACGGGGCCTCCACTCCCTCCTTCCCTGCCCCCATCTCTGACATCAGCGGCAGCTCCTCAGGGGCACCACGGCACACTGCTCCCCACCCCCATGCTCCCTGAGGGGCCCCTGGGCTGCCCTCTCTACCCACTTAAGGGCAGTTAGGTCTACAGGGGGTTGGGGTGGGGCACCGGCTACCTCGAGCCCCACCCTCCCTCCACTTCAAGCTCCTGTTGGGACAGGCTCCCTAAGGGGGCCCAGCCCGAGGGGCTGGGTGCCAGGCAGGTGAGTCTTGCTGGCTGTGCACGGGGCTGGCTCGGGACTGATGTCAAGCGGCCTGGTTTCTGTCCTGGCGCCAAGGCCACGCCCTGCGCCCAGCGCCCGCCTCCTCCGCCCTGCCTTCACCCCAGTTTCCCCGGGGAGGTGGCGAGCGGCCCTCTGCTCTACAGATGGGAACGCTGAGGCCAGGAAGGGAAATTGCCTAGCCCCAGGGCCTGGCTCCGGCCCAAGTCGGTTACTCACTCACCCACTGGGCCGGGCTGAGTCACGGTGGTGGCCCAGGTGATGGGAAGGAAACATAAACACGGCGAGTGGGCGGAGGCCTGCGGGAGGGTGATGCGCCCGCCCACCGGGGTTCCCAGCTCTGAACTTCCCACCACAGGCCCTGGGCGGCCTGGGCAGGCACACACCTGACTGTCCGTCACGCTCCCTGGGCCCCAGGCCCAGGCTTTGCATCAGCTCTGGGAGGGCTGTCCACGCGTTTGAAAGACGGGGAAACTGAGGCCCCCCGGTTGTAAGTCAAGCTGTGGCAGGGGGCTGAGCCCCAGACCCATACCCAGATGCCGGCTCTCGCTGTGGCCCCCGTGGGAGGAGGCCTGGCTCTCCCAGTCGCTCCCATGACTGGGCCATCGCTGCAGAGGACACCTGGAGGCAGAGCAGCCACATGTGCACGAGAGGGCTGGGCGTGCACAGCTTCGGTGCTGTCTGCCGAAGGCCTTCCACATCCCTGGCCGGTCCTTCCGGGGCCCACGTGCGAACCCTCCTCCCTCTAGTCCCTGCAGCCCAGGCCCCTTCCTCTCCTGGACCCTCGCGCCAACCTCCTCTCCGCTCCCTGCTCCCTCCTCACAGTCCGCACTCACAGCAGCCGGAGGGGTCAGGGAGAAGCCGAATCGGATCCGGCCCTCCCCTGCCCCAAGCCTCACGTGGGTCCCAGCACAGTCCCTTCGGTGGCCAGCATGGCCCTTGGTCTGGCCCTGCCCCCTCCCCTCCTCGGGCCTCCTCTGACGGGTCGCTGCCCAGCCCCTCCGTTGTCCTGCCCGCTCTTTCCAGGGCCTTTGCACGCCGAGGCCCCTCCTCTCGGACCCTCCTCTCCAGCCTGTTCCTCTGACGGCCTTTCAACCCTGCCCACATCACCGTCCCCAGGGCTCCGGCCTCCTAGGCTCTGGTCCGCACCCGGTGCTGAGAGTTAAGGTAGGTGGCTCTGAAACCCCTCATTTGCGGCCCCCGAGGGCCTCAGCCTGTCCTGCAGGACCCGCAGTGAGACAGATGCTGTGGCCAGAGTCTCCGGCTCAGCGAGGGCTCTCCTCCCGCTCAGGCCTGGGTTCCAGTCCTGCACGCTGCCACCTGGAGGGGAGGAGGGGCTGGGCCGGGAGGGGGTTCTGACTCTGCCGGGAGCCCCACTTCCTGGCACTGAGGCTGTGGAGGGTCAGAGAAGCCCCGGAGCTGGGCAGCTGGGTCCAGTTTCCCACCCTCAGGCCCCAGGTGAAGGCCAGAGCCCCCTCCCCACAGCAGGCCTTCTGGGCAGCACCCCAGGTGCCCACACGGACTCTGAGGACGGAGGGCTGGGCTTTGGGGGGCAGGGGTCCTCAGCTGCCTGCCCGTCTGGCCCCCAGGTCACCCAGGCCTGCTGTTCCAAGCTTCTGATCCTCCTGAGTCCCCCCTCTGCCCCCCCCCCAAAGGGCCTGGGTCCTGGGTCACTGAAGCGGGGATGGGGATGGGGGTGGGGGAGGCTGGAGGGCATGGCAGCCAGGGAAATGCCCAACCAGCCTACAGTTGGGATCGGGAGGGCCAGCGGCTCCCCCAGCCCAGCCCGTCCAACTGGTGAGGCTGGGAGTTCCCCCGCACCTGGCGGGCGGATGTGCCAGGGCCTGGGCCGGGCCTGCCGGGGCGGCGGTGCGGGTGCGGGTAGGCCTGTAGCTGCCAGGCCTAATTGCCTCATGAGCGTCTGCCTGCTGCCCAGGCCTGTCTGCTCCTCACCACGGCCCACACGGCCGTTTTTCAGGAACGGGCCTGGGAGGCGCCGAGCATCGATGGCGACACTCAGGGTAACCACAAGGCCTGATGAGGCTGGGCCCGGCCTGGGAGCGGGTGCCTGGTTCCGGGTGAGGCCGCTGGGTTGAGGCCTCAGGGCCCGCCCGCCCCGGTTTCCCGGTTTCGCGGTCAGTGCCAGCGGCCCAGGACCTGCCTGGCGTGTGGCTCTCCGTTCCCAGGCGGGAAGCCCCAGCACCAGGGAGTCTCTCCTTCCAGCCTGGCCCCACCCAGTCCTATTCTTGCCACAGGGACCCCACAACCTGGGAGACCCCCTTCCTGCCAGGACAAGGGTCTCCTGGGAGTGAGGAGGGGTCAATGAACCCTGACTCTCAGGGGCCAGGCCAGGGGCCAGGGGCCAGCTATGCCCGAGGCCCCAGTCCTGGCTTTGCCGTCTCCCATCGTTGGATAGCACTGTCCTGCCCCCTCCTCATCCCCACCCCCACCCCCATCTCCAGATGGGGCGGCCGCTGGCCCAGGCTGGAGGGGTGAGGAGAGGAGAGGGCAGTTTGGCCAGAGGAAAAGTACTCCCTAGAAATCTTCCTGGGAACCTCAGCCCCGCCCCCCGCCCCCCCAACCAGGCCTAGCCCAGGAGATCAGGCTGGGGAACGGGCTGGATCCCCCCAGAGCTGGGGACACAGCTGACTGCCTGCTGTGGAATTGGGGGCCCCTGGAGGTGCCTCAGTCTCTCCATCCCCAGAGGGGGCAATACTTCTGACTACCTAAGCCGGCAGGGTCTGCATGGGACTGTCGGGGAAGGGGCTCCTTGGCTCAGAGCCCACCCTCTGCACCGCAGGGGGCAGGTGGCCTTGGCCTGGTCTGCCACTTGCCAGGCCTGCTCTGCACATAGCGGGACAGTCCCACATGACCCTCGGATGACCGAGGGAGTGCTGTGCTGGGACAGGGCTGGGTGAGATGGGGGGGGGGGGGCGGAGGTGGAGATTGGGGAGCTTGACCTAGAGACTTGGTGCTAATACTGACTTAATCACTGCCCCAGTTTCCTCCTCTATAGCATGCCGTGATGTCCAGCTTCCATAGCTCAGTGGTTGAGCATCGACCTCTGAACCAGGTGGTCACGGTTCGATTCCTGGTCAGGGCACATGCCCGGGTGGTGGGCTCAATCCCGAGTGGGGCGTGCAGGAGGCAGCTCTCTCATCGTTGACGTTTCTCTCTCTCCCCCTCTCCCTTCCTCTCTGAAATGAATACAAACATGTTAATAAAAATAAAAGATGTCTGTGAGGCAGGAGGAAACACACCAGGTGAGGGGCCCAGCCCTGGCGGAGCACGTACCCTGGCCAGCCCTCTTATGCCTGGACAGAGGAGGGCCTGAGGGCAATGACCCCACCCCCCAGCTCCACCACGGGCAGGCAGGGAGTGTGGGCAGAGTGGGCTCCGAGGAGAGGCTGCCCCACGGGGAGGGACACGGAGACGGGACCGAGCGGCTGCCCATCTGTGGCTGTCGTGGTGGGGGTGGCGCAGGGACACTCCCAGCACCAGGCCTGCCTGTGCAGGTCCCTCCCGTGGGGCAAGGCTCTGCACACAGCCCCGTGCCTCTGCTTGTGCCCACACCTGCCCTCTCCTGAGGAAGGGGCGGGAGGACGTCAGTCCTGGGCCCTGCGTGGCTCGTGGTTCTCCTTCCACGCCGTGGCCTCCCCAGCCCGGCCTTCCCTCCCTTTGCCGTCACCCTGTCCGGTCCCCACCCTCTGCTCAGACCAGCAGAAACCCCCTCTCTGACCTCAGGGAGCCCTCCCCTCGAGGCTCTGACCCAGGCCTCCTGCCTCCTGCGGCGATGTCCAGAGTGGGATCCGTGGAACCCTGCCCGCCAGGTACACCTGATGAAAAGGCTCATGTGGAACCGCTGCGAACACTGGCCCCGGCCGCACGGCCCAGGAGCGCGTTAAAGGCTCTGACAAGTCCTGCAGGCACACGGCACCTTTATGCTGTCCACCTGGCGTCTCCCTAACTGGTGACCACAGCACGGCTTCCCCACAGCCTTTACGCCCAGCGCAGCCACGGCCCACGCCCTCAGCGTGTTCTTGGGGAAAAGGGGGCCTTATGCTGCCCGGGAGCTGTTCACAGGCGTTTCTCTTCCCTGGACGCCCCTCTGCGTTCCGAGGAGAAGCCGCTCAGAACCCCAGCTTTCTCTCCACAAGGGGCCCAGCTGCCAGTGGGATCGGCTGTCCAGGGGAGGGGGGCGGTTAACTGGGAGCTGCAGAGCAGGCGGGAGAGGGGCGAGAGGAGCCAGACGCCTGGCCGGGCGGCCCCAGCTGGCTCTTGGCCGTACCCACCCCCCTCTCCGCTTGGGGGCTGTGGCAGGGCTCCTCCCCACAGCCAGGCCCGAGCTGGGTTAGGAGCCCTGAGTCTCCTAATGAGTTCCACATGCAGCGGATGCCTCGAGAGGAAGTGGGAAGGGGCTGGGAGGGGAGAGGGGCCTGGGCCGGGATTGGAAACATGTGCTTCGGAGGAGGAAGAGGACGACGAAGGGAAAGGGCAGAGGAGGCAAGAGCCTGGAAGACTTTATCCCTAGAACTCCGCCCCCCTAACCCCCCACCAGTCTCCCAGGTCCCTGCAGAAGGCCCCCGTGGCCTCCTGGTGTGGGGAGACCCAGGCCTCTCCTTCAGGCAGAGCCCCCATCCCTGGCTCCTGCGGGGTTCTGGGCCATTAGGGGCAGGACTATAGGAGGCGGGGATGAGGGTGGGGGTGGGGAGCTGGGGGCGTGGCACGAGGAGGGCCCTACACAGCCAGCCAGCCAGCAGCCACGGCTCATTCACATCCACGGGCTGACTCCCCCCAAACTCCCCTTACCAGCCCTCAGGGCTTACAAGGGAGGCCACTGCCTGCCGCCCCACCAGCTGGCGGGCAGGAGGTCTGGCTTGCGGGTTGGTGGCCCATCCTCCCTGTCCAGGGGGGCTGCGCCTGGGCACCCAGATTGGCCTGGCACCTAAAGCCCCCCCAGGGAAAGGCTGTGGGCGCTGGGCTGGGGTGTGGGGTGGGTGCTCAGTGGCGGTTAGGGAGTGAAGCCTGAAGGACTCGGGTACAACGCGCCCCCCTCGCAGGAGCCCAGCTTTCTGGCCACATGACCTCTCTGAGCCTGGAATGGGCCTTGCAGCCGGCAGGACTGATGCTGGGCCCCGCCTTCAGGTACCTCAGCCCCTCCCAGGCCGCGGTCGGAGCCCAGCAGGCACGAAGCCTGAGCGTAGAACTTTGTGCAAACTGAGCAAATCTCCCGGCACCCGTGTGATGGAGCAGGAGGCCGAAGCAGGAACTGGTGGTCAGAGCATTCCCGGCAGTGGGAATGGCAGGGGCAGAGGCCCCGGGGTTGGAATTGGCCTGGTGTGGCCGGAGGGACATGAGGGGGGTGACCAGTGGCAGGAGAGGGCGTGGGGACCCAGCAGGTGCCATTTTTGTCGAATGGGCCCCGGGGCGGGCTGAGGAGGCCGACCTCAGAATGAGCCATTTCTACGACCACCTCGTGAAGTCTGTTTAATGTTCAGATTTGTTTGCCCTGTGAACAGAGGGAGAAAACAAAGCCACCACAGGCTGGCGTGCTTGTTTCTGGACCCACTGAGTCAGGGTCCGCACGGGCATCAGTCCGAGTCAGAGACCCAGGCTCACCCGCCAGGAGTCCCGCCCAGGCCGAGGCAGAACAGCGGGCACGGGGTAGAGGACATGGCCCCGAAGGCGAGGGAGCAGGTGGCTTGGGCCATGCCTCGGAAAGCTGGGCCTCAGGACTCAGCTCCGAAGCAGCAAACACTTCCCAGGGCTCCTGCACCGGACCGGACGCGGACCCTCATGCCTGCACTGCGCCGCCGACGGGCATCATGGCTAGGCGGGGCCGCCAGGGCGGGCAGAGGCAATACCCCTGGGCTTGGGGCAGACCTGATTCCTGCCGAGTTGAACCCCGTTTATTTACCTGAGTCCCACAGTACAAACCCGCCCGCCACCCCGAATCAACGAGCTCCTGATTGCACCCCCGATCACGGTGTCACTCTCTGCATGATTAGCTGCTGGTTCTCCAGACACTGCTTCAGCTTGTCCTCCGTCAGCGTCAGCCGCTGCTCCAGGATGCACACCGTCTGCAACACAACAGGGCAGGCTCAGAGGGCGCGCCGGCTGCCCAAGGCCAGCTGTGAGCACTTCCCACCCAGGGGCTGCCCGCATCTCTGGCGGCTGCTCGGACAGCTCCTGCCCTCCCACCCACCCTCCCGGCTCCGGATGGCTGTGCTCTGATGTCGTGGGCCAGGCAAGACCCTGCGAGGGAGAGGAGGGGGCGGGTCCCACAGCCCCACCAGACAACCCAGGTCAGGAGCCCCTGGTCCTGGTGGCCTGGCGTTTAGGCTGGAGTCTGGGGCAGAGCCACCTCCTCACGAACCACCGGACACCAGCAACCACCTTCATCCATCCAAAGGTGAGGGCGCGGCGCCCACGAACGAAGGCCCCGCACCTCAGGCCGGGCCCCCTGGGGAGGACTCTTCTCCGAGCCCGTTTCTCCTCGGTGGCGGAGGGTGGCGGAGCTCACAGCAGCCCTGGAGCCTGAGGGGGCAGCACGCGGCCAGCTTGTTGGCGTGGCCCACAACGCCTGTCACCACGACGGCTTCCGAGGCTGAGCCCGTGCTCCCAGCACGATGGCTGGCCTCCAACGCCCGCAGCTGCTGGGGCTGCACGTCCTTCGTGGGCCAATCTTGCAGACGTGGCCCGGCTGGCGTGGCTCAGTGGTTGAGCATCAACCCACGAACCAGGAGGTCACCCATTTAACTCCCGGTCAGGGCACAGGGCCAGGTTGCAGGCTCCATCCCCGAGGGGGAGTGACGGGGGGAGGGCGTGCAGGAGGCAACAGATGCATGTTTGTATGTATCTTTCCCTTCCCCTCTCTAGAAATTAAAAAATAAGACTCATGGACCCGCTCTGGCTCAGGACAGTGGGTCTGGGCGCCGGTGTGCTCCCCGGAGGGGCTGGCCCACGCCCTCAGTCCTCTCCCTCTGGCCTGCCCCACCTGACACCGCACCCCAGCACTGCTCAGCCGACCCAGGCCGGCCCTGACATCTGCGCCCCCACTAAGGGAGCCTGAGCGTGCCGGCCCGTCTGCTGTGGGCAGCATCGAAACGGGTCCGATAATAACAACCTTCTATGAATGTTCCCCATTTGGCTGGGGCTTTCCCCAGAGGTTTCGCCACCTTCCCCGAGGCTCCGAGAGGCACTGGCCTCGATCCAGTCCCTTCGCTTAACGCTTCGAAGCACGAGGCCTCTGGCTGTCCCACTCCGGCTGCTGTAACCCCTCCAGTGCCCGTACTCCCCCCCCCACAGGGGCCTGCACCCCCGCCCCCCCGCCCCCGCAGGGGCCCGAGAAGTGCTGCCGGGGGGCTGAGCAGGCCCAGCCCGAGAGGCAGAGCTGGCTGGGCTGCCACTCCTCCGGCGGGAGGGTCTGCATCTCGGAAAAGGTGGTGGAAACAGCCCCTGGCTGGTCCAGACCAACCAGCATTCCTGAAGTTTCCACTGGCTGCTGAGACACTCAGTGAGCCAAGCTTCAAACTCACTCTGCATCCAGACTTTTCCGCAGCCCGGACTCCGGGCCCCGGTGGGGAGACTCCGGGCCCCGGCAGGGGGACTCCGGGCCCCGGCGGGGGGTCAGCCTGCCGTTCCTTCCCTGGCCCTCCCTGTAATGTTCACAGGGACCCCTTTCCAAACGCGGAGGCAGAGGGTGCTGAGGGGACCCAAACCGAGATCACGAGCCAGGGGTGTCCAGCATGGCCGCCCAGGGGAATCCTGGGAGAAGCTGCCAACCCCCCGCCCGCCCAGGGGCCTGTCCTGTCCTCTCTGGGCGGCATTACCGGGCCGGCGCGCCTCCCTCACGGCTCAGGTGTGTAGGACGCCTCTCTGACACCTGAAGGGCCGAGTGCAGCACAAAAATAACTGTTTATTTTTAGTCCCAAAGAGCCACGGTGAGACCAAAGGAGCTGCCCCACACCGGTCCTCGGCAGCCGTCAGCTCTGGCCCCGAGCCTCCCGCTCTCCTCTCTGGGCACGGGCTTTCCAGAATCTGCCCAGGACAGGCTCAGGGTCCTGGGGCTCTGGGACCCAGAACTGGGGGCCCCGCTCCCACAGTCCCCCATACCCGCCAATGGGCCAAATCAGCCAATTCGGACGCCCCGTGAGGGCCAGGGCTGGTGTGCTGGCCCCCAAGTGGCCGAGGGTGAGCCTCCACTCCCGGCGTGGGTGCAGGGCTGAGCTGTGAGGGGGCGGGGGCGTGGCCAGGATTCTCCCCGGGCTCGGGGTGCAGGCGGAGCTTGCCCTGCGGAGGCAGTCAGGTGTGTCCCGAGGAGGACCCGGTAGGAAGAGGGAGCGGCCCAGGCCCTTCATGCCGCCCAGTCCCTGACCCTGTCCAGCCAAGTGGGCGCTCCCGGGCTGGGCCTGTTTCCTCTGGAGGCGGGTCTGTCCTCACTCTGGCAGCTCGTTCTCAGTTCTCACTTCCACTTTCTTTCAGGCCTCTTTCTCACCCCCTTCGCACATGTGGCTGTTTGGGTGCAGGGTGTCAGTCTGGCCCAGGGGGACTGAGCTCCAAGGAGAGCTGGGCCCCTGCAGGATCTCCTGCTCTGGGCTGACGCCTGGCTGGCAGCCCTGGAAGGAGAGCTTCGGCCGTGACGGGGCTTGGAGGCCAGTGGTCACAAGATCTCATTAAGTTTCTGAGATACCAAGCTTTTAAAATGCTTTTAAAATAAAAATCAAATGGTAAGTTAAAAAAAAGAAAAAAAAGACACTCCAAGATGAGTCGAGGGAAATGCATTGCAAATAAAATATAGCAGGTGCAAAGGCCCTGGGGCAGAGGAGAACATGACAGCCTTACAAATGCCAGGAGACCGGATGGGTGAAGAGGGAAGAGAATGCAGTGGCCACAGGAAGGGGGAAGAGGGCTCTAGGGCTCTCAGCCAAAAAGAAACAGGAAAGGGGAAGCCTCTATGTCAGAGCAGGCAGAGCCAGGAGGAGGGTGTCCTGCAGGCCGGAGTGAGCTCTGGGGAAGGGGCTGGGCCTGGGCCTGCCCGGGCTGCCCGGCCCCACTATCAGCAGTGAGCCAGGGGAGGAACAGGCCCCTCCATGCTGACCAAGGGCGCGTCCTCCCTCCAAGCCAGGTCCTTCCAGCAGCTGCTCCTCCTCCCACGGCCACGGCCCCCACCTCCTGCGTGGCCCACGAGCTGATGTCGTGGGAAAACTGGAGCCGTCGCTTCCACAAAGCCCGAGGGGCCAGGGGCCACCCACCGGCCCCTTGACGTCACCCACTCCCACACGCCTCTCAGGTGCTGCCACGTGCAGCAGACAAGACTGGCTCCCAGGCCCCCAGGCTGGCAAGGCCACAGGCAGAGCTCTTCCCCAGGACGGACACGTTTTGGAGGAAGGAGGAAGGAATGATGGTCAGCCAGCCACTCTGTCCCGTCTCTCAGACCTCTGGCCAAGGTCTTACAGATGCTTCTGCGGGCACAGCCTCGCTCTCGGCTCCCACTGACCTCTAGGCCTGCCATCTTAGACTTCTCCACGCCCACATCCTGCTCCAAGCAGGGCCCTTAGGTTGGCACAGGTTCTGTGGACAAAGTTCCCGCCTGGCCTCCTTGACATGGACACAGGTGGACAGGGCGGCTGGCCCAGATGCCGATGGAGGCCCAGGGCCGCCCTCCGTCACTGCCCCCCTCAAGCACCTGCGGGGCTGGGGCAGTGTGAGGGGACTGAGACTGCCTGGAAGGCGCCAGGGCCGCGTGTGGGCTGCACATGGCTCCGCACCTCTCACCCTCACGAGGGCCATGGCTGAGCTGGGGGAGGGGAGCTCTGGGCCCCGATGGGGCGTGATGAGGCCGGAACACACCAGCCTGTGGTCGGCCCGGGAGGCCTGGGATCATCGGGGCACACGGTGGTCTGGCTGCTTCTGTGACGGAAAGTTCCCTTTAATCATTCCCAGGCTGCGGGTGATTGTGCTCCTCCGAGCCTCCAATGCAGGAGCCAGATTACTGGGGACAGAGGGTCCCCGTGTCCTGGGTCTCAAGGAGAGGGCAGTCACCGGCACTGGTGCCAGGCCAGAGAGGCACCAGGGCCAGCCACTGGCTCAACGCCCGCTGACTGTGCCTCCCAGAATGCCGAGCCCCCTTGGTTTCAGCGCTCAAAGGGGAAATGTGGAATCAATCTCCCTCAGCACGGTTCACTTCACTAGGACCCCAAAGATCGAAAACAGATGCAATAGAAGGGGCTCTCTGCCGGGGGTCCAGTGAGCCACCAAAGCAAAGGCTGCTGGGCCAGCGCCGCCGCTCCTGCGGCTCCAGCTCTCGCTCACTGCGTGTCTGTGCGTGTGTGCGCATGTCTGTGCGTGTCTGTGCGTGTGTGTGCGTGTCTGTACGTGTGTGCGCGTGTGCGCAGAGAGGGCGGGTCGCTGCCTTTCAGCCCAGCCGCCCAGACCACGGTCTCAGCCCGGGGCAAAGGCCAGCGCGTGGGCAGCTTCCTGAGCAGCCTGAGGGCAGCAGCAACTCCCCCGTCACTGGCCTCCTCTCCCAGCCCAGCTCCTGCAGGATAGGTGCACGCTGAGTGCCGAGCGCCCGAGCCCTGGGGCCTTCCCACCAGCGCGGAGCGAGACGCCTCGCCTGAGCAGCCCATCCAACAGGGACCGGCCAGGACCACGGGGCAGGGTCACCGTGTCTCGAAGCTAAGGCGCCATCCTCGCCAACTCCCCAGCGGGCTCCTCAGTGACCACCCTTCCCAATGCCAACAGGAACGACCTTCCACGCGCACCCCAAACAGCCACGGGAAGCGTTCTCAGCGTTTTACTCCTCTGGCTCCAAGGGAGCTGTTTTTAACCGTCTTCTCAGACTTCAAGGCTGAGGTCTACCCTCCAAAGTCCTCATGGGAGTCCACCTCCCGGCCCCTCCCGGCCCCTCCCCTCCCCTCCCCTCCCCTCCCCTCCCCTCCGATGCCCGAGTCTCAGGCCTGCTCGCCTCCCGCACGGGCCTTCTCAGGAGCACAGATGTCTGACGATGAGCCGCAGGCCCGCCCACCCCTGTCTGTCACTGATGTCAGCCTTTCCCTCCGTGGGTCCAGGGGAGCAGCCCCAGCTGGGACACGGGACACGCTGGAGGCCGTGTAACACAGGGGCTTCCTCCCTCGTTCCAGGCCAGGGAGGGAGGCTGTGGCCCTGTGTCCCGCCCACACCCTCACTCCACTGGAGCTGAACGAGAGGGGGCTCTGCACCAAAGCCAAGGACCTTTAAAGCTTACCTGTCCGCTCCACCCTTGCTCCCCGCACCGGCCACGTGGGCTTGGCTCGGGGCCTGGACATGCTCAGGGCCCCAGGCTGCAGGCGAGCTGCTCGCTCGGCCAGGACGCTGCCCCCCAGGATGAGATGCCCACTGCCCCCGCATTGCCGGCCGGGGGGGGTCCTTTATAGAAGCTACTGCCCTGCAGGCTGGGAGCTGCGGACCCACGCACGCTCATGGGTGGGCCCATGTCTGTCCTGCGATGAGGGTGGTCAGTGCCATAGCCCCAGCCAGGCACAGGCCAGCACCTCCCACAGGCTGCCCTCCTTCAGAGCTCACCACGGACACGGGAGGCCGAGTCACGCCCACGCCCCTCACACACCAGGGGCTCCGAGGACAGGGGAGGGCCAGCCGAACCAGAGCCGATGTGGCCCCTGGCCCGTGGCTACCTGGGTGAGGACGTCCAGCTGGCCCACGATGTGCTCCAGCGCGCTGGTCAGCGCCTGCGGCGTGCTGGCAGGCTCCCTCGGCGGCGGCACGCTCTGCGCCGGCTCCTGGCTCCTGGCTCTGCCCGGCAGGTGGAAGTCCACGTCTGGCTGAAGACAAGGACAGGAGGGCTCAGTCCGGCTGAGTGCGGAGGACACTGAGCGAGGATCGCCCTGCGAAGGGCTGGGACACCACGGCAAGTGGAGGAAGCGAGTCCACTCGTTCAGAAGGAACGGCCACAGGAGGGACCCACCACGGGCGGCTCCACAGCCTCCCCTTGGCACAGCCTGGGGGGAGCAGGAGGCCCCTTGACAGGGCTGGGTTTCCGCCAAGATCCTTCTAACCCCGAATGTAGAAGACACTTCCCCCAGCCCCAGCACCACTGCGGCGAGTGGCTTCCGGAGACTGAGGCCGGTCCCCACGGGGCCCCAGCCACCGCCCCGCGGACACAGCGGTCGGTACCCGTTCGGTCTTGGAACCTGCAATCCCTCTTGGACTCGCCCCTGTGGGAGGGCCGTGCTTCCATGGCCCAGCTGCCCTGGGTCTGACACTCTGGGTCACTGCCCCCCAATGCCTGCCGGGCACAGGGCTGAGCACAGCCAGGCTCCCCACAAACACACTTCAGACAGCCAAGCACCCCCCAGCGGCATTCCTGTGCAATGACCCCTCCCAGGCAAAGGGCCCGCAGCCCCGCCTGGCCATGACCCCATGACACCACCTGCTGCCGCTCTGCGCCCAGCGTGCCAATCGCTCTTCGGCGCCAGCACAGTGGGAAGGCCCAGGCTGCAGACCCGGGGGCGACCCATGAGGTCCACACGGGCTGGGGGTGCAGGTTCCCAGGCAGAGTCAGCGCCACACCTTAGAGCTTTGGTTCCCAGTCGTCAGGGGAGCCGGCGTCCGGGCAGCGCGTCCCAGCAGCGGCTGTCCAGTCTGTGGACATCAGGCCGCGGCCACTAGGGGGGCACACACCTGGCCAGCAGCCAGGAGCGACTGGAGTTCCCCCGGGGAGGCCAGGAGCTGACCCGACAGCACCCCCTCTGGTGGGTGGGCGGTAACTAACACCTGCCCCAGGCTCTTCTCTCAACCCCTCACCCCGGGCCCTGCCCGCAGGCCGCTCCGGAAACAAGCTCTGCAGCTGGCACGGGTCCTCAGCCCGAGATGTGGGCTCTCACTGGTGCCTCCTCCTTCAGCGACCGGCAGGGAGAGCTGGCCACTGCCCTCGCAGAACATCAAAGCACTCACTCTCCCAGCGCGGCAGGAAGACGGACACACACACACGCACGCACACACACATGCACGCACACACACACACAACGGCGTCTTTCCACCTCAGTCCAAGTGAGGGTGCAGAGGCTGGAGGCCAGCTGTTCCCATCGGCACCCCAGCCCCTGGCCTGACCGTCGCCCTCATGGAAGATAAGGGCGCTTGTCTGGCCGCCTCCCTGCTCGCTCCTGGGCGCTGGCGAGGCAGCAGGCACAGGGCACTCACTGGGCGCGCCCTCACCTCCACCTTCGGTGGAAAACAGCACGGCTCTCTTCTCAGTCCACGCTCACACACGCTGCTGGATCCCCACACGGGCCGTGGGCTGGACGCACGACAGCCTTGTCTGCCCTGTAATTAGGGTTCCGGCCTGGAGTCTAAACATAGCCCTGAACTCAAGAGGAATTCTGGTCCTTAAAACCTTTAACTTTTCAGCCGAAACTGGCTTGGCTCAATGGATAGAGCGTCGGCTTGGGGACTGAAAGGTCCCGGGTTCGATTCCGGTCAAGGGCATGTACCTTGGTTTCGGGCATATCCCCAGTAGGGGGTGTGCAAGAGGCAGCTGATCAATAACTCTCTCTCATTGATATTTCTACTCTATCTCTCTCCCTTCCTCTCTATACAAAATAAATAAAATATATTTTAAAAAAAACAAAAACCTTTAACTTTTCAAAAAACAAAACAAACAAACAAAAAACTTCAACTTGCTTGGCGACCTTGCCCACACCCCCCGGAACCCGCCTGCTGGCTGTGAGTGCAGATGGCAGCGCTTCCCGTTGACCACCCTCTGCTCGGTGAGGGCGGCCCTTGCCCAGCGCCATTACACAGACACACACACACACACACACACACACACACACGACCGAGGGCACTCCCGCTGGCGCTAAGCACCTTGGTCCCACAGGGAGACTGGGCCGCCAACCCAGGAGCTCAGGCTTCTGATCAAGCCCAGGTGTTGATTGCAAGATTTTTTTTAAAAAAATTAGACTGCTTTAAACTAATGTTAGGCTTAGAAAAAAGTTGCAAAAAGTGGTAAAGAATTGTCATCTATTCTCCTCCCAGGTCCCCCCAGTATTTTTTTAAAATATATTTTTATCGATTTCAGAGAGGGAGGAGAGAGAAATCAATGATGAGAGAGAATCATCAATTGGCTGCCTCCTGCACAGAACCAGGAATCGAACGTGACCTGGTTCATAGGCTGACGCTCAGTCCCTGAGCCTCGCCAGCCGGGCAGGTCTCCCAGTATTAACATCTCACATAACCATCAGGACAAAGGTCACCCCAGGAAATCAACTGGGTCAATGGCATCAGTCAAATCAAGGGCCCCACTGGACGCCCCAGCTTTCCTGCCAACGTCCTTGGATCCGCTGGCCCAGAAGCCGCCAGGCCCTCAGGCTGTCAGTGGCTTCGCCGTGGCCTGCTGCGATCTGTCCTTTCCTCCGGGACCTTTCCTCCGTGACCTTGGCGCTGTGGGAGAGTCCTGACCCGTTCTATGGCCTGATGACCCTTCGTTCGGGTCTGGTGTGTTCTCACAAGCGGGGTGAGGTCATGTGTGGTTGACAGGAACACCACAGAGGCGGCTCGTGCGAACAGGACCCGTCTGCGTGGTGCTGACCTGACAGTGGCGCTGACCTCTGCGGATGTCCCCACGCCAGGTGGCCGCCCGTGTGGTTCATCTCGGGGGCTCTGGCTCTGGGCGGGAACGTGCGGCTGCCCCGCAGAGGCGGCGTCTCGCGAAGAGGAGCGGCAGAGCGACCTCTGGGAGACGCCGAACAGCGGCGTTTATTTATATCCCGTTGCAGACAGCTCAGGGCACTGCTGCAGTGAGTCTCTGAAAGCCGGAACAAAGGCTGGCTATTTTAAACTCTCCTGCACTTAGCTCAATGGAGAGATGAGAGGCACCGGTCGCGCCGGGCATTGCTCCCAGGCCTGGCAATTCCTATTTCGTGCAGCATCTCAGGACGACAAAGCCTGCCAAGACAGATAACCCGCTGGCCTGCCTCCCCTGCAGAGGCGTGGGCTGCGGGCTGCAGAGGAGCCAGAGCCTAGCGCCCCCCTCCCCGCTGCCCGAGGGCATCCCCGGGTCTCACAGCGCCCTGTCCTAGAAAATGCAGCAGCATGGGGCTGGGTGAACTCAGGCTACATCGCCTCTCATCCCCCTGCAGGCAGCAAAGAGGAACAGCGCTCCAGCGGATGCTGCCCCGTCTCTCCCGCCCCCACCCCAGCCAGGCAGCTGGCAGGAGCTGGCCACCTGCGGGCACACCTTCGCTAGAACAAGGGCCCCTGGGCTCAGTCACCACGGTCCCAGAAGACAGAGGGGGCCCCCACAGCGCACCTCTGGCCACCAGGACCTGTGTGTGTGTGTGTGTGGGGGGGGTGTTTCTCGGTCTCCGCCGTCCTATCAGACACACACCATGTGGGAGACGTGAACGTGGACGAGGCACTGGCCTCAGGAATTGGTAATTTTGTTGGCGGAGACAGAGCACTGCAGCTCTACAACGAGGAATGCCTTTCCTCGGGGAAAGATACATCTGGGACCAAACGCACACCCTCCGGCTCCCCTCTAACGGGAGGGGACGGAACGCGTGGAGCGCTGCAGCCGGAGCTGGGGCCACGGGGTTCCGAACGCTGCTCTCTCCCCTGTGCTAGCTCAGAACCTATCATTATTGTTTTAATAATAATAAAGAAGGCTCCCGGAATGGTGCACAACTGAGGCCACACAGTGGGACCCCCAAGAGGAAGCTGAGGCACAGGAGGCAGACCTGCCGCACCCACAGGAGTTCAGAGCGGCCCAGGCCCTGCCTCGGGCACCTGGCGTCCAGTGAGCCCGCAGCCACGTCTGCACCTCCACAGACACTCAAAGAAAAGTCTCCATGGAAACTGTCTATTCTGACGTCCCCATGGTAACCAACGGGAACATAAACACGAGAATTACCAACACCCTGCACCACATGGGCCAGGCTGCCATCCAATCTGGAAGACAGACGCTGCAAAGGCTTATCCCCTCTGACAACAAACAGGACGGAAACTTCTCGTCCAGAAACGCAGATCCCAGTCGCTGCTCAGACCACCCCACGCCATGCCACCCCCCCAAAACCAGGCAAGACAGTCCCTCCATTTAGTCAGGGATCCTCAAAATGCCAAAGGACAGTTGGCAAAGCCGCCTCTAGCCTCACGCTCCCCCACACTGCCCACGGGCACGTGTCCCTGAACTGACGGGCTGAGCATCCTGCTCCAGACACGTGCTGGGCCCACGGAGAGCGAGCCCCGGCCCTGACAGAGGGAGGCTTCTGAGTAACTGCCTCCAGAGGGGCTGCCCCGCGAGCAGACTGCTGAGACACAGGCAGGCGATGTGCGGAGCTGGGCCCTGGGCCCGTGACACCAACACTCTCCCCAACGCCCTCGAACGTGGCTTCCTCCGACGCACCCGCTGCCGAGAGCCCTGAACCACCTGCGAAGCCCAGAGACCAGGAATTGGAGGAAGGAGGGCTCCCCTCCAAGACGTGTGAATCGGGATTCATTCCCACTCCCAACACCCACCGCCCTCACCTGCCAGGCGCTCCCTCAAACCCACTTCTCTCCCTGGAAAGCAAGCGCCAGCCAGAAGCCTCCCCTGTCACATGGGGCCCACGTCTGCCACGCTCCCTGAGGAAGCAGATCTATGCTTCCCCCGCCCCAATGCCGGCTCCTAGGGACCCCAGAGCCTTGGCACCTGCCCCGAGGCTCCGCCCTGAGCCCAGGTCCTGAGTCCCAGCCCCGAGACGTCCAGGGGCGGGAGACGTCCAGGGGTTACCACCCCCTCGAGGGCTGGCCCTGGGCGGGAGGCAGAGGCCTGGACCTCCCCTTGGGTTTGAGCACACAATCGCCCTGACAGGAGGTAGGGGTCATCCAGCTCTCAGTGGACAGAGGAAGGAAAAGGAACACTGTAAAAATAGCTAGCACTTGCTGAGCACTCGCCAGGTGCCAGGCCCGGGGCCAATGCCACTGGCAGTGCCACTGGGTGGGATGTCAGCAGGGAGCCTGGCTCCCACGTGTGGTGAGGAGAAAGGGCCTCGGCCCTAGAGGGTGAGGACAACCCCAAGAACTAAGTGGGTGTTCGGTTTTACCGAGTTACCCAGAATTCTCCACTCCCCCTCCCACAGCCTTCCTTCCCGATTGCATAACAGCTCCAAGTGTGGAGGGAGGCGAGAACACATCAGAGCAGATGAGTCTTTGCTCCTCGGAGTGACTTTAAAACGCTTCCGTGGCTGAGGCAGCATCAGGCCTGTGGCAGCTGGGACTGGAGGGGCAGGTGCCAAGTCCAAGGTCAGCCAGGACACCGTGGTCCTCAGCCTCAGGGGCAGGCCCGAAGCACAGACAGCGGAGGGGGCGCAGGCAAGGCCCGGCTGCAGATGCTCGCGGGCTCGAACCCTCCCACCTCACTCCAGCCTCCAGCTTCCTGCCCACCCTCAGCCCTTCCGCTGCAGCCCCCGGCAGAGACAGCTCCCCAACCACAGCAAAACCCCTCACCACAACTCGGCCAGAGGAGAGAGAAGGGGTCCCGTTGTTCACGCTCTGAAGGCTGGGGAATGGCTTTGCTTTTCACGTGCAAAGCGCCTAAGAATAAGCTGTGAGTCCCCCCGAGGCTGGAAACAGCTGCGCAGCGAACAGGCCTGTTCCCAGCGGCTCGGGGCGGCCTTCGTTCCAGCAGGAGCTGACCGCCTCAGAGCCGGTCCGGGGCGGGGGTCAGGCAGGGGGCTGCCCGTCCTGTCCGCCCCCGGCTTTTAACTGCCACTCGAACAAGCCCACCGCCAGGAATTGAAGACCCAGCCCCTGGCCCGATGGGCTTCCTAGTCCTCAATGCCCGGGCGTGACTCTGGCTTCAGGGCCAAGGCCCTGGAGTGCGTATGTGGAGCCGGGGGGGGGGGGGGGGGTGTGTGTCAGACCCCAGAGCACACATGCTTCCCTCCATTTGAGCTCCCATGGAGACGCCCACCCTGCCCTGTCCTGCTGGCTCCCGCCCACAGGCCTCTTCCCAGGTGACCCGAAGCCACAGTTCTGGGAAGCAAGGGTGCCCACCCCATCGCTGAGCCGGGACGGAAGGACGAGGCCGCTTGTCCAAGTCCCTCTCCTGACAACTCCAAGAAGAGGGTGTGGGTCCTCCCCCTGGTGCTACCAGCCTTCCCGAGAGACAGGGGGCGCCCTCCCCTGGCATGGGGAGGGCAGGAGCCTGGGGAAGAGGGGGTCCCTGTAGCCAAACGCTGGATGGCCCAGGCTTCCTGGTTCTATCCTGGGCAGCCTGGGCTCGCTGGGGCCTTGGACAAGCCACTTCCTGTTGTCAGGCCAGCTTCCGGGCTGGGAGAGGCCACCTGCCTCCGGGGCCAGAGGGAGTCCCGGCCTGCGGCCCCGAGACCCTCCGGCTCGCAGCCTCGGCTTCAGTGTGGGTGTCAGCAAAGCTGAGTGCACCCTTACTCAGTCACCCATTCCCCCAATTGTCACTGACAGTTTTAACTAGAACACGAATGCCCTCTTACCACCGCGGTGCTGAGATGGCTTGTAGCTGAGGCGCTTCCTTTCTGTGGTTTAACAGAAGGAAGTGAGAACCACAGCCAGCTGAGGCTGCAGCCTGCGCCCTCCAGGAACGGGGCCTGGCCTGACAGGCCCCTCGTGCCTCGGGCCTCACTCCGAAGGAGTAGGTGCCATGGCAACACCCTGCCCAGTGGGCCACCGGGCCCAGACCCCAGCAGCCCGCCTGCTCTGCGACCCTCACCCCAAATCTGAAACAAAGCAACACCAGAGGGCTGGAGAGTATTCACTAATGACAAGGTCTTACTAGTCCCACCGTCTCCGAGCCCAATGCACTTCCCCGTGACCCGAAATGCTGGGCTTACACCCGCCCGCAGCCACTTACCAGGTTCCGGGAGGAGCTGGCCAGCGCGGCCCGAGGCCTCTGCCCTTTGGGGACGTCTCCGTCATCCACATCGAAGTTGCTCTTCCAGACCATCACCTTCGAGACAAGCAAACAGAATTAGGGGAGACGTCCTCACCACTCCTTCATGGAGAAGGTGGGCCCACAGCACCCCAACAGCTCTGGGCCCGAGGCAAAACAGTGGCCCCACCTGACAGACACCCCAACTCAACGCTGAGACCTGCCCCACCTCCACCACTGGCCCCAGCATGTGCTGGTGCACTGCCTGGGCTGTGCGGCCGCTGCACGCCACCTGCTCAGAGGCCCTCTGGCCTGCTAATTGTCACCAGGCCCCGACTTCCTCCAGAGCACGGGTCACTGCCTTATCTGCCCCTTTTCCTCACCTATCACGTCTCCCCACTAAAACAGGGGTTCCAAGAGCGGTGGCCTTGCCTGCGGCCATGAGAAGTGGTGGATATGTGGGCTCCATCCCAGACCACAGGAGTGAAGATCCCGGTTCCACCCACCTCTAGGCAAGGGACTCAACCTCTCTGTGCCTCAGTTTCCTCATTGGTGAAAGGGGCACAATCCTAGTTCCCCCCTCACAGGGCTGCAGGAAGGCTCACAGCTCGGCACAGACATTGGCACCAGGAAGAAGTGGGGGCTCCAGGACACCCCGGTTCTGCTGAAACTGTTTCCTCACCACAGGGTGGGATGAGAGGGCTGCCCACGTGAGGCAGGGCTCCGCCCACGGCCTGCACCCCCGGCTCGCAGTAAGCCCCCTCCAGCCACCTCATTCACACACGCTCAGGAGGAAGAAGTGGTTAGAGCTTTGGTCTAGCTCCTCCCTGGCAGCAGCTAGGTCCCAGGCTGGCGTGAGCAGTGAATGTTCTGAGACCCTGCCCTGGGGGTCGGCACCTGCTCTGGGGAGGCCAGGGCCCAGGGTCTGAGCACCTGCCCCAGCTCCTGCCTCTGTGGCCACTGAAAGCCATGAGGAACGCTGGCCCCACCTCCCCGAGCCCTTCAGCCCGGCCCCGCCGGTCAGCACCCCGCTGGTCAGCACCTCCTCAGCCGGGCCATCGGTCAGCACCCCCTCAGCCGGCCCATCAGTCAGCACCCCCTCAGCCGGCCCATTGGTCAGCACCCCACTGGTCAGCACCCCCTCAGCCGGCCCATCGGTCAGCACCCCCTCAGCCCGGCCCATCGGTCAGCACCCCCTCAGCCGGCCCATTGGTCAGCACCCCCTCAGCCCAGCCCATCGGTCAGCACCCCCTCAGCCGGCCCCATTGGTCAGCACCCCACTGGTCAGCACCCCCTCAGCCGGCCCATCGGTCAGCACCCCCTCAGCCGGCCCATCAGTCAGCACCCCCTCAGCCGGCCCATCAGTCAGCACTCCTCGGTCAGCACCGGGGAGATCCAGGCCCTCCTTACACACCTGCTCGTCGGAGCCGCCTGAAGCGAAGTACTGCCCCGTCCTGGAGAAGGCGACAGTGGTGGCCGGACCCTGCGGACAAGCGAGAAAGCACGCAAAGGTCACCCTGGACTCCGGAGACAGCAAGAAACTGGAGCTGAGCGGCCGCAGCCACGGACAGAACGCTGAGGGCCTCATTGGGCCTCGGTCCCCAGCCCGGGCATGAGCGCCATCCTGAGCCCTCTGCCAGGACGAAGGCAGGTCCGGGGCTGGAATGAGCAGGACAGCCCACCCTGGCAGCCACGCTGGGCTGGCACCCTGTCCCCACTTCCGAGGAGGCCAGCAGCCCGAGGCAGTGACCGATCCTGGCCCGGGCAGCGTCTGCTGAGCTGCTGTGTGTCCCGGAGGTGGCGGAGCTGTTGCCCGGGCATGCCGAGGCTCTCTGCTGTCCATGGCCAGGGCACCCGCTGCCAGCCCTCCCCCAGGGGCTGCAGGCAGGGACAGAGGTCAGGCTGACGGCGGGGTGACTCAGGTTGAAACTAATGAGCTGTTCTCCCCCACTTTTTTTAAATCCTTACCTGAGGGTATTTTTTCCATTGATTTTTAGAGAAAGTAGAAGCGAGGGAGGATGGAGAAGAGAGGGAAGGGGAGGGGGAGAGAAAGGAAGAGAAAGGGAGAGAGAGGTGAGAGAGCCACATGGACTGGTTGTCTCCCACACTTGCCCCGACTGACCAGGGCCAGGGACTGAACCTGCAACCCCCACTCCAGTGCACTGCTGCCTCACCTCCACAGGCAGGCCCCTGGTGGCCACTGTCCCCGCCCAGCGAGGCCCCGTATGCACAACCTGCAGTACATTGTGGATCTGAGCCTGGGATTGCACCAAGCTCCCAGCACAGACAGCAGCCCGGGGCGGGGTCCGGGCTCAGCCATGGCTGCCTGCCGCACGGTGGGCCAGCTGGGGCGCGTGGAACCATATGTCAGGGTCCCTGTGCCACTCAGCCACTCCACAGCGACACGACACCAACTGCACAGCCACAAACACCAGATTCACTCCCGCCCACACCCGCCCACCACCAGCTCCCGAATAGCTCTGGGACTCACACCAAATGAGTGCAGCTTGAGATGTTGCAGAAAATACAGAAAAATCAGCCTCTATTTCGGGTGCATTGCCTCCCGCTGCCACAGACACAGGCCTCGCTCGGGCACAGGCTCGGAGGACAGCGTGGGCAGTGGGAACCCTTCCTCTTGGGTTTCCTGCTGCAGCCCTGACCCCCTGTCCGTCCTGGTACAGCAACAGCAGGGACCCCCCTCCTCCTGCTTCTCTGGGGGTCGGGGCAGAGCACAGGGGAGTGCAGAGCTCAGAGGGCACTGCACCCAGCCAGCCCGGAGCCCTCGGATACCTGGCCTGGCCTCCGGGACTCAGGCTCTGGGGGAGAAGAGCCGATGGGCCAGACTACTAGGGGCACAGCAAGCAGACCTGCAGGCCCCGGCAAAGCCCACTCAGGTGTGCAGCCACCCCACATAGTCCAGGGGCTCCCGCACAGCTGCCCCCAAACAGCCACCCCGAGCCCAGGGGCTCCCGCACAGCCGTCCGGAGCCAAGTTCCCACAGATGTGCGGTCTCCCTCCTGCTCAGTTTGAGGCTCCCAGGCAGCAGTGCCTGCAGAGCCTGGAGAAAGGCCGTGGCTCCAGGGCTCCGCTCCAGTGAGACCAAGATATGCCCAGGTGCTGAGGGGACGGGCGGCACTCAACCAGCCCTGGAGCCGGACAACCACGTGCTGATGCCCGTCCTACCCACTGAGCCCCAGTCCCTCCTCAGCTGCGGCGGGCCCGGCACTCCGATGGAGGGCACAGGTCTGACGGGCAAACCGTTCCTGCATTTCACCCACCCCAGGCAGCGAGGGGACCAGACGCTGCCGCCCTATGGCCTCACTCCACGCGCAGCCCTCACCTGGTGCCCGTGGAGCGTGTAGAGCAGCCGGCCCTCCAGCAGGTCCACGATCTTCAGGGTCGAGTCACTGGAGGCCGTGACCAGGTAGTTTCCCGACGGGTGGAAGGAGAGGGCGTTCACGGCGGCGCTGTGCACTGGGGAAGGGCACCGTCAGCATGGCTGGGGGCCCCGTGCCCTGAGGCTGGAGGACGGGCCGGCCGGGTGGCCCTCGCTCAGAGCTCGGGGACCCCACAGGACTTCCCGGGACAGGCATGTCACAGGATGCCCTGCAGGGCTGGTGGGGGAGGGCCGAGAGCTGGCCGGAGCGGGGAGACTGCACTGCCCGACCAGCCCATTTGGTCTCAGAGCAAGCCCAGGGCCCAGCTGGCTGCACAGCTGCGGTAAAACCCCGTGACCGACCTGGGGGAGGCTGAGGCCTAGGGGACAGAGAATGGGGCGCTCTAGCTAAAGCTTCCCGAGAGGCCAGGCCGAGCCCTCAGGGGCCTGGGCAAGACAACAACTAGAATCAACTTGGTGCCAGGAGCCCAGTGTGAGATGGACAGAAGCTGGACTCAGGGGCCCTCACCCTCTTCATGCTAGATTCCCGCCCAGCTGTCCCCTCCCCCCACAGCACTGCTACAACCTCTGCTCCAAACCCATCCCGGCGGGACCCTGCTCCGCTGACGCTCAGCCCCACTCGGACATCGGGCACGGAGAGCCCACCGCCTGCCCCCCAGGCCCACTGCTTCCTGCCACGCAGTTCTTGGCACTGGTCCTCAGGTGCCTCCCATTCCTCTCCGGGGACGGCGGCCCCAGCGCTGCAGCCAGCCTGCATCTTTAGAACTGGGCCATAGCTTGGCATCCAAGGCTTTACCCAACGGATGCCCACTGCTGCACCACCTCCAGCAGACCAGGCTCCCGACCCTTCAGGTGGGCCGGCCTCCCCAGCCACTCTCCCAGCGCTGCATGGCCATCCTCAGGAGCCCCGTAACCGGGGCACTGCTGCCATCCCTCAGACAGGGCAGCCTGCACTCCTAACCCTGCACCTCCCATCTCCCTGTCCAAGCCCTTCCGGCTGACGCCAGGGCTCCTGTGCTGCCCACCTTCCCCAACGTCCAGTTCAGGCCTGGAGCAGAAGAAAGGCCTCTAAGCCTGGCGGGGAGGGGCGTGGCCTCAAAGCAGAGGGCAGACCCCCACGGCAGCTCTAGCAGCTGCTGTTCTAGAAGCCTCTGGAAGGGGCATCATCTGTGAGAAACCCCAGGGCTCAGTGGAGAAAATTGGTTCCTGTGGTTGGCCCTGCCACCTGGTGGTCGCGCAAGGTACCGCAGGCCTTGACCAGGGAGCCGGCCTCCTGACTCCAGACTGAGACCTGGCACCAGCAGCATCCTTGTCATGGTCATTGACACGGACTTCCCTGGCTCCCGCTTCCTGCCAGCACTCTCCAAGCTCTTCCACGGACCAACTCTATCCTCTCAGCACCACCTGCGAGAGGCCCGTCGTTGCCCCAGGAAGCTCAGAGGGGTCAGGACCCACCCAAGTCACAAAGCGAGGACGTGGATGTGGGTGCAGAGCCCCTCCTCCACATGCCTTTCAAGTCCACCCGCTCCCCTTCTTGGAGGCCTGTGACTTTGGTTACCCCAGTAAGTGCTGTCCTCAAGCATCTGAGAACCCACTAGGAAGGGCTTGTTGCTCTGAACCTCAGGCCCACACCTTGTCCATACGTGTCCTTCCCATGTTCAGGTATGAATTTTGGAAGTGAGCCCATGAACGTTAAACTTAGTCCCCTTTGCAGGTCAAGGGCTGCCAGCGTGGCCCTGGAGGCAGAGCCTCTACTACGGGGAGGCAGGGGCACAGGCAGCGCCTGAGGTGCCCAGGAGAGGAGCCCTCCCCACCTGGCCCTGCAGTGAGCATGCGCCTCTGCCGCTCATAAGCGGGACAAGAGCTTGTCCATCTCCTGGCCAAGGCTCCCGCCTGGAGATCCTGCCGGACCGGGCTGCTCCCCCTCAGGGCTGTCCACGGCCTCCGAGGAGGCAGAGCCAGCGCGGCAGCAGCCCGGGGCGCGGGGACACTCACGCTGGTAGTGCTGCAGCAGCCGGTGGGTCCGCACGTCCCACAGCTTCACCGTGTTGTCCATGCCGGCGGCCGCAATGCACGTGCCGCTGGGGTGGAAGTCCACGTAGGTGACGAAGCTGGAGAGACAGGGCCATCAGAGCCTGTGCTCTCTCTCATCTGCTCACGCTGCCCCAGAATGCTGCCCCCACCGTCTCTGAGCAAGGAGGAGCGGTGCCAGCAACGACCTGAGCAAGGCCCAGCACACCTTCTAAACATAAGGCCCGAGAGCAGTCTCAGACCAAGTCAGCCGCTGCTCGGGCTCCGAGGCAGAGACGGCGCCCTCGCCAGGGCTGGAGGCAGGCAGGCCTGCCCGCTGAGGCCCACGCGAGGGCCAGCAGGGCCTGGGCCCTCAATGTACCCGGGCGGGACACCCAGGGGGTAGCATGCCAGCTCTCAGGGGGGCTCACTGAGAGGGCCGGAGCTCGGGTGCAGAGGAACCCAGAACAGGGAGTCTGCTGAGCTGCAGCCCCTCCTGCTCCCGATGTCCCGGCAGTGGGAAGAGCCACCGCCCGCTCCTCACAAAGCCACCAGCGCACGGGGATCACACCCACGTGCTTATAGGAGTGTGGGTTCAACTGCTTTCTCAGACATCACAGTTCTGAGAAGCAGAGGGTGAAAAGCGGGGCCCCAAGAATTACATGCCCAGGGGTTAAGCTCCCCCTTATTGGTAGGGATGGGGCTGGACAGCGAGCCGGGGGTGGCAGAGCTGGCTGCCTGGCCGGCTTTCCGGAAGCGCGGCAGGCGGAGGCGGGGACTCACCCGCCGTGCTCGCAGTACGAGTGCACACACTCGCGGCTGGTCTTGTCCCACAGCTTGACAGTCTTGTCGTCACTGGCGGACACGATGAGCCGCCCGTCGGGGGAGAACCTGAGTCAGACAAGCAAGTCCCCCCGCAGGCTGAGCTGCCACAGCGCCACACCTCCCCCAGCCCCTCCTGCACTGCCGCTCCCTGGCCCAGAAACCAGCGGGCTACATGCCTTGCTCTGACCACAGTGACCCGGGGCCGCAGCTGCCCCTCTGTGAGACGGGCAGGCACAGGGGGGGCAGGCCCGCGCCTGGCAGGGCGGGGGGAGGGGCCATGTGCGCGCGGACTGCTGGCGCTGTCAGTGTCAGGGTGGCCTAAAGCCCAGGATGTTCCGGGTCCGAGTCTGTGACTCCCAGTGGGTCAGCAACGCACAAGCTGCAGCAACAATGTGGGGGTTCTGGGCACCTGATGGCGGGACCTCAGAGCCTCAGGGACCTCCCAGCACAAGGGAACGGGTGCCCTGGAGAGCATGTAACTTGCATGGGGTCCCAGGACACAGCCAGTCCCTGACCTCTGCCTCCCCTGGTTCCCAGTGTCCCACACTGCACCTCCTCCACTGGGTCAGAGATCTGACAGGTGGCTGGAAGCTCACAGTTACGGCCTCCGAAAGGTCCTCTGGGTCACCCCGTCCCCTCAGCACTGCTCCCCACATGGGGAAGGCCAGCAAGAAGCCTGGCCCCGTCCCACAGACCTGAGCAAGACCCGCCCGAGCAGCAGCACCAGGAGGAAAGGAGGCGACCTTGGTGCCAAGGAGGGGCTGGACCCAGCTCTGCACACACCCACCCTGTGCCCAGGGCGAGATACTGCCCTGTTCTGAGCCTCAGTCTCCTCATGCAAACAGTGACACCCTCCTCCCCAACGCCCCCACCCCCCCCAGGACTGCCAGGAGTCAGAGGAAACGGGGCGGGGCAGTGCTGACTTCATCTTATCTATTGTCTTGCCCTGGGCTGTTTAAGCCCTGGTGTCGGTCACCATGACAACTGGGTAACTCAATGGTCGCCCACAACTCATAATGGAAGCAGTATTATCATTCCCATTTCCCAGATGAGGAAACCGAGGCTCAGGAAGATCAGGGAGCGGTGAGCTTGGCCCCGTCAGGGTGCCGGCGCTCGGCAGGCCCTCTGTGTGTGTCCCCCCCCCGCCCCCCCCCCATGCCGCTCACTTGGCACAGCGGACCCAGTTGATGTGCTGGCTCAGGGAGAACAGGAACTTCTGGCGGTGGGTGGACCACACCTTGACGGTCTTGTCGTCGGAGGCTGTGACGAGGGACTGGCCGTCGCTGCAGAAGTGGACGCTCCGCACCGTGGCCGTGTGGGCACGGAACACAGTGGACTCACCTTTGCTGCGAGGACAGGCGCCCAGAATCAGCGACAAGAGGCCGTCCCCTGGGAGCCCTTCCCTGAGCCCCCACGCCCCCCACATCACCCACGCCCCCCACGCCATCCACACCCCCACACCCCCACGCCATCCACGCCCCCACATCACCCACGCCATCCATGCCACCCACGTCACCCACGTGCAGCAGCAGCTGGCGTGTCGCTTCACAATGGCCGGGGTCAGCCCCCCTTCCTCCCCCGGCCCTGACGGGAGGTTCCCCTGAGGCCTCAAGTCCCGATGGCGCCCCTTCAGGTTTGGGGGACGTCCTGTGGTGACCAGTCCTGACCAGAGGGGTCCGGGCGGGGACAGTGCTGCCCAGGGCCCCGGACGCAGATAGGACCAGAGTCCGGAACTCACACGTTGGGCACCCAGAGGCGGACGGTCTTGTCGCGGGAGCCCGAGGCCAGCAGGTGGCCGGAAGGGGAGAAGTTCACCGAGGTGACGGCGTCCTTGTGGCCCGTGAAGCGGTAGGCACGGGACTGGGGCTTCATGTGCCAGACCATGAGGCACGAGTCCATGGAGCCGCTGGCTGGGGAGAGCGGGAGCCTGTGACCCTCGCTCTGGGGGCCTCCAGTCCCCAGCAGGGCTTTGGGGTGACAGGGACAGGAGAGCAGCCACACCCCTGGTGAAGGCTGACCGGGCCTGGGAAGCAGGCCGATGGGAGCCAGCCCTGGCTGCAGGTCCCCAGACACCCGCCAAGGGCACTGAGCCGTTGGCCCCTCAGAAGCGATGGGGAGGCCCCAGATGAACCAAAAATGACTTAGTTTCCAAGGCCAGCAGCCTCCAGCAGGGGACTGGACCCTAAGGTGAGGAGGGAATCTCACCCATAGAAACAAGCAAGACACAGCCACACCCGCTGTGTATGAACCCCGAGCGGCCATGCTGGGGGCTAAGAGGGCACACCTGGGGCACGAGGGCGTGGGGGGGGGGGGGGACTGGGCCTGCTCCTCACCCTTCCCTCTGCAGGCTGCTCCTCGGCACCATCACCGAGGACACACTCAGTGGAGGCCGGAGGAGGGGGAGCCGCTGTCTAGGGCCCGATCCACAGGCCACATCCAAGGGGAACCACAGACCCCAGGCCCACCCTCAAAGCCCCCAGCCCCTCTGAGCCTCACACCTCGCAGCCCAGCACCCGAGAGCGGGCTGCCAGAGCGGGCTGCAGGTCCAGAGGAGCACGTGGGTCCTCGCAGTGCCCTGTCCCGGGGGGACAGCCTTCTCAGTGCACAAGCTAGTGCCAGGACAGGACGGCCCCTTACCCAGGTGCTTGGTGTTGAGACTGAAGTCCACACAGGTAACCGCATCTCGGTGGCCCTTATAGTGCCTCTCCAGCGAGGGGTCCTCCTGGGGAGACGGCGAATGTGGGACAGCTGGGTGAGGAGAGGCTCTGGGCGAGGGCTTCACAACACTCACAGCGTGACCCCATATAGAGAAATGAGTGGCCCAGTGCACAAAATGCGTGCACGTGAGAAAGGGATTAATTAGAAGAAATAATTTAACATTGCCATTTGCCCCTTCTCTATAATAGATGTGTCAGAGATGAAAGAAAAGTATTAAAATGTATATGAAAACCTTCCTCCTGTCAGAGTCTGGGCTCACCATGGCACCCAGAGTCAAGTCCCTGCCCACATACATGCACCTCAAAATGAGACCCAGACCCAGACCCCCCCCCCTGCATTGGGCTAGATCCAGACCTGGCCAGTCCCACCCTTGTCAAGCCCTGCCGGGCAGGGGGGTAGCCTCAGGTCCCCTGGCCCAGCGCTGGGATGGGGGTGGTGTAACTTGAGGTTCCTAATTAAGCCCCAGGGGTGGGGGAGGGGTAGCCTCAGGTCCCGGCTGATTGCTCGTTAAGGCTTCTTACGGGAACTTGGCCTCAGCTGTGGGTGCAACCATCTTTGTGGCAGTGATGGTCAATTAGCATATTCCCTCTTTAGTAGATAGGAACCTAAGGAACCCACTAAAAGACTATTAGAACTAACAAATAAGTTCAGTAAGGTTGTAGAATACAAAATCGATATATAAAAATCAATTGTAATTTTGTTTACCAACAGGAAACAATATGAAAGTCAGGTAACAGTTCTATTTATGACACACTTTAAAGATGTAAAATAGGAATAATTTAACAAAAGTATAGATGTATCCAGTGAAAACTATAAAATACCATTGAAAAAAACTTAGGGGGGAAAAAACCCAGGTAAATAGAAAGATAGCCCATGCCCACCGTTTGGGAAGCCTGTTATTTTTAAGGTGTAAAAATCCCCCAAATTGTTCTACACGTTCAGCAGAATCCCGATGAAAACCTCTGGCAGCTTTTTTTGTTTTGTTACAGAATTTGACAAGTTGATCTAAAATTCGTATGAAAATGTGAGACAGCCAGAATAGACAAAATCTTTTTTTAAGTCTTTAAAAAAAAAAAAAGAACAAGAAAAATGAGCCCCTGTAAGAAGCAGTTTGGCAGTTCCTCAAAAAATTAGTTATTTATCAAATGATCCAGCAATTCAAGGTAAACAGCTGAAAGAATTGGGAACGTGCTCACACAAAAACCAGTACACCAAGGTTCCGAGCGCTTCAGTCTAACAAGAGCTTCAGTCTAACGGACAAAAAGTGGACAAGCCCAGAGCCTCCCGGATGAGTGGGTCAACAAAACGGGGTCTGTCCCCGCGACGGAACCCTCAGCCCCGGGAGGCACGAAGCACCGACACGCTACAACACAGATGAGCCCAGAGGACATATCCCCAGTGAGAGAGCCAGACTCAACAGGCCACGTTCTGTCTGACTCCATGAACACAAAATGTGCAGAAGAGCCGGAAAACAGGATAGTGTGGGCCAGGAGCTGGGGTGGGGGGGGTGAAACAGGAAGGGGGTGACTGCTTACTGGGTATGGGGGCTTCTGAATTGACAAAAAAGTTCTGGAATGAGACAGTGATGATGGCTGCATAATAAACTCCGTGAAGTCACTAAAAACCACTGTTTTGCACTTTAGGAGGGTGAATTTCATGGTACGTGAATAACATCTCATAGTTATTTTTTTGAGGCCGAAAGAGAGAATATAGTGCCTTTCAGCAGCCCCATCTCAGGCATCCATCCCACTGCGCAATGGCCTGTGAGCCCCAAGGAGACCCCTGGCGGCATCGCCACCATCTCTACCCCACCCAGCGCCAGGCCCCGGGTCAGGACGGCTCAGGAAGCCGGGAGACATTGCTCCACGAGGATTAACCGACCCGGAGTCTGGCTCAGGCCCACGTGGGAGCCTCTGCATCCAAGGGCAGCTCCCGCTCAGCACCGAGATCGCTGCCAGCTGCAAACACCTCCCCATACCCCAAGCATCACCAGGGAGCCCGGCAGGGCCATGGCCACCCTCCAGAGCGGTAACCATCCCAGCCCAGCTCCGCCCCCAACACACCTGCCCGCCCCCCTTCCAACAACAGAGGGAGTGGCAGCTGGGGGAGGGCCCCCCACGGAGCAACTGCCCTGCCCGCCTCTCCGGGGAGAACAAGAGTAAGACAGTGCCCACCTCTAGGCTCCCTGGGCAGAGCAAGTTCAGGTTCACCCCTGACCCGGGGACCCGGACATCTCCCAACACCCTCTCCCCCAACCCCAGGGACAATGTGGTTCATCCCCCCCAACCCTCAGGTGGTTTGTATTTACTGGGAACGAAGGGAGGGGGGGTAATCCTGCGGGAAGAGCACCAGACTGGGGGCCAGAATGCCTGGGTCCTCGGCTCACGTCAGTCCCAGGTGCCTACGGGGACCAAGAGGCCGCCACCCAGCCTCCCGGGCTCTTGACCCAGCCGGGAGGCCTGCAAGTTCGAAACCACCCCTCCCTCTGGCCTCCGCGGGAACGTTCGCCGGCCGCCCGCACAGGGCCCCCCCCCCCCCGACCCAGCGCGCCCTGCAGACGGGAAACCGGGGCCGCCGAGATGGGCTCGGAGCCCGGAGGCCCCCGTCCCCGGTCCCCCGCAGCCAGGGCCCCGACCAGGTACCCACGGACCGTGCGCGGAGACTAAGGCCAGGCGGCGGCCGCCAGCAAGCACTTACCGCACAGGACGCGGCCATGGCGGGGCCCGGGGCGCCCGAGGCGCCGCAGGAGCCCGAGGAGGCCGCCGCTGCCGTTGCGGCGCGTTCAGTTTCCGCGCCCCCAACCGCCGCCAATAGCAACGCTGGTCGCGTCCCCTCGCCCCGCCCACCGCGGTTAAAGGAGACGCGGCGCCTGGGCTAGTTGCTCCCCTACCGGAAGCAGAGCTGTAGGGCCGGCTCCACGGCCTCCGCTCCAACCTTGGCCAGGCCAGGCGGCCTGTGGACGGCGCCGCCCACGGCCTCTGGCCACCGACGCTCATCCTCCCCGGGAATTTCCAAAGCCCTGGCCGGGGCGTTCGCCCCACCCGCCCGTAGCCCGGTCATCGAGCCGGCGAGCACAGCTTTCTGGGAAATGCAGTTCCAAGACGGCCGCCACATGACGTGTGGAGGGGAACTGGGACTACATTTCCCAAGATGCCTTGCGGGCGAGGCTGAGAGCCGTGATTTACCGGCGGGGGCGCTAGCAGTAAGAATCCCGGAAGTGAGTTCTGGTCTGTTTACCCTCTTAAAGCGCTCGGTTGGCTTGGTGTTCGCTCAGCTCCTTCTTAAGAGCCAGCTCTTCGCCCTTCGGGAATTCCTTCAATGGGTCGCTCCTCCGAACGCGCTGAAAACAAATGCCGATTTAACAAACACACCGATCGCTTGGAATCTCATCCGTGGAGTGAGAGACCCAGGTTCCATCCTCAGTGCTCTCCGTGCTTCGTGTGCGACTTCACACGAAGTGACCTCTGCTCTACGGGCCTCGGTTCCCCCTTTGTCATGGGAGGGAGTGGGTGCACCTGGCCCTCTCCAGACTCCTGAGCCCTGCGAAGCCCTTTGTAAATTAATCACGTGCTTCCACGGGGAGGAGACATCCAGGGGCCTGGCCACCAGAGGCCGTTGCTGCCCGCTTTCTGCGGTGGGAAAGCCAGCCCTTCCTATGGCACCTCCCCCCTTCTCTCCCCCCCCCCCCCCCGCATCTTCCCCACCTGGAACTGACCTGGACCGCATGTTTCCCAATATTCAGGAAACCTCTAATAGACGAAATTATGCCCCGCCTATTAGGAAACTTCTATGAGTTTATTTGAGCCACACAGTTCCAGGACGTGCAAAATCTCAGCGATTGAGAAAATGCTCGAAGAGTGGCAGTATCGCAGCTAATTTACACATTAGGATCAAAGGAGGAGCCGCTACATGAACTCCACTGGAGGGAGATTACAGAAGCGGCAGAAAGCAAAGTGGGGAAATCTCCAGGACTGGATAAAAAGGAAAATGGAGAAGCGCATACTTTTTAAAAATATATATATATTTTATTGATTTTTTTACAGAGAGGAAGGGAGAGAGAGAGCTAGAAACGTCGATGAGAGAGAAACATCGACCAGCTGCCTCTTGCACACCCCCTACCAGGGATGTGCCCGAAACCAATGTACATGCCCTTAACCGAATCGAACCTGGGACTCTTCAGTCCGGCACCGACGCTCTACCACTGAGCCAAACTGGTTTCTGTGAAGCGCATACTTCTTTTACATGGGTGGGTACAGGAGAGTTAACTCACTTTCCCATTAAAGAGAGATGGTGTGCAGGCAACGAGATGGCAGGGAGGGTGGGCCTGTGCTCTGGTGCCTGCAGTTGTGCCTTCCAGAGGTCTGGAAAAGAAGATTACTCTGAAGCCCTGGCCAAATAGCTCAGTAGGTTGGAGAGCCATCCTGTGCACCAAAAGGTTGCTGGTTCCATTGCCCCAGGGCACATGCCCCCCCCCCCGTTGTGGGCTCAATCCCCTGTAGGTGGCGTGCACGAGGCAGCTGACCCATGTTCCCCTCTTTCTCTCTCTCTAAAATTCAATTCAGTTGTAGAGTTCTTTATGCAACCAATGAATGCATAAAGAACTCAACAACAAATTCATGTTTCCCTTTCTCTAAAGTCAAATAAAAATTTCAAAAAGAAAATAACTCCATTTCAAAGGTATATTATCCTAGATGCATAAAAACAGTGGACGGGCTCACTTAAGGTCAAGATTGACATTTGCTCAGGAAGCTCTAGGCCTGGGATGTGACCGCCCGCCAGTTGGGGATTTATGACCAGACCATCTGTGTGGTTACTTTCTGGCATTAAACTTGTCGGAACTTCCGTGTTGCCCTTCCTCCCCCCATAGCTTGTCAGGCTCCTGGCAGCCCCTTTGCTCACATTCCATCACTTCCTGATTCGGCCAGATCCTATCACTGATTAGGACAACGCCAGGCCCTGACTGTCTGACCACACCTGAGGCTTAAACTGGTGTTTCCTGGGCCTGCAAACCAGAGCCCGATTCAATCCGCTCAGAAACTGGCGCAGGCTGACGCTCTATCCCCTGAGCCAATCGGGTTTTGGCAATGTGTCTCCACTTTTTGCCTGAGCACCCCACCCGCACCCCAGGCCTCCTCCATCAGACTGGACTCCATTTCTGAGTGAGGCCTCTACGTTGGGGAGGTGGGGGGTCCCGTTGGAAGAACCTCAGTGTGCAGTGTGGAGAGACCTCCATGGGGAGGGCCTGGAAGGCGGCTTCTTTTCAATGCCCTGGTGGCACGGAGGTCTCTGTACAAAACCCACAGGCGCCTGGCCATGAGCGCTCCTTCCCTGTCCTCACTCCTGAGCCCCCGCCCAGGGCGAGAGCAGGAGGAAAGGCAGGGATGACACGGCCCACGTGGCCCAGCGCCCCCTCTCAGACCGCACCACCTGCAGGGGGCAGCGCAGGGCAGCGCGGGTGCGGGGAGTCCAGGCCCTGCCTCTGGGCTGGGTGATCTAGCAGGAGTCACCCCACAGCCTCCGTGTCCTCGAATGTAAAACAACCCCAACGACCCTCGACCCTCCCGGCGGGGAAGGAGGAATCGTGCTGAGCTGATGCTGGGCTGCCACGGCTCCACGTGACTCCAGGCTGGACCTCAGCCGCACCCCGCACCCCGGATCCGAAGACCCTCTGCCTCCGCTCCCCACCCCAGCGCTCTGTCGCAGCCACGTGGCGTCCTCACTGTCCTCTGGACAGAAGGTGCCCACACACCCCCTCTCAGGCCTCTTGCACTGGCTATTGTCCCAGTGACCATTGTCTCAGCTCAACCCGGCGCTTCCCGCGGGACTGTGTCCGAACATCCTCTCCTCGGGGACCCTGTCCCCGAACCCCCTTCTGAAAATGCCAGCCGCCTCCCCCGCCCCTGCTTTCTTTCCTCCAGCGACAGATCGCCACCGGACACACTGGGCTGGCGGGTTCCTTCCCTTCTCTCCCGAGAGAATGCCAGCCCCGGGGAGCAGAGGAGAGCGGACGGCTGCACCCAGGACAGGGCCTGGGCAGAGCAGGCACCGGACACATTTGCCAAGTAAACGAGTAGATTTCCCAGGATAATCACGACAGGACTGCCCAGAAGTCGCAGTGGGGTCTGTGAGGGGCAGGACTTGCTCTCAGCTGGAGGGAAGCGGGGAGTTAAAAGTCACGGGAAAAGCTTGTCGGAGGGTGCAGGGAGGTCTGACCTTCGGCACCAGGGCGCACAGGTCGGCTGAGGGGAGGGAGCAGCCAGCCAGAGGCCCGGCCACAAGGCTAACGTGTCGTGTGTGGGGCACAGGTCCAGGCAGGAGGCTCAGGAGGAAGGCTTGACAGTGAGGCCAAAGGCAGACAGCGCCATGAAGACCGGTCTCTAAGGGCAGGGGGACTGAGGGAGCCATAGAGACCCCTCCCAGATGGACCGGTCAACTTGTTGGGGAAGTGACCCACACGAACAACATGAAGGTAACAAACACACGATCCTATCAATAGACTCGGAAAAAGCATCGGACAAAACCCAGCATCTAGCCGAAACCAGTTTGGCTCAGCGGTAGAGCATCGGTCTGTGGACTGAAAGGTCCCAGGTTCGATTCCCGTCAAGGGCATGTACATTGGTTGCGGGCACATCCCCGGTAAGGGGTGTGCAAGAGGCAGCTAGTTGATATTTCTCTCTCATCTCTCATCGATGTTTCTAGCTCTCTAGCTCTCTCCCTTCCTCTCTGTAAGAAAAATCAATAAAATACATATTTAAAAAAAAAATCCAGCATCTACTCAGCAAGGCGGAGATAACGGGGACACACCTCAACATAAGAAAGGCCCTATATGGCCCTAGCCAGTTTTGCTCAGTGGATAGAGTGTCGGCTTGTGGACTGAAGGGCCCCGGATTCGATTCAAGTCAAGGGCAAATGCCGGAGTTGTGGGCTCCATCCCCAGGAGGGGGCGTGCAGGAGGCAGCCCATCAGTAATTCTCTCGTCATTGATGTTTCTATCTCTCCCTCTCCCTTCCTCTCTGGAATCAATAAAAACATGTTTAAAAGAAGAAGGAGGAGGAGGAAGAGGAGGAGGAGGGCAGGTGGGGGGGTTGTGGAGCTCAGGGCGACGGACTTTTCCTGCAGGTACCCACATACATGTGCACATGTGTGTAGATATGAGTTCACAGGAAGCCAAACCCCAACCTGGAACAGATGACCCAGGGGCCCAGCTTGCAGCCCGCCCACCTGCCAGGCAGAGCTGTCAGAGTGAGGCCCAGGGCCCCCGTCAGCGCCCGGGCAGGAGGACCCCAATGTCGAAGCTGTGCGCGTCAGAAAACTCCTTGGGAAGGCTGAGCAAGGTCGCCCCTGACGTCATGGACATTCGCCGATACCCCCAAGGCTACTCAGACCACAGCCTTGGCGTGATGGGGGGAGGGGAGGGATACAGCCATCACAGCCGCCATCGGGGGAAGCAGGATCCAGAATCAGACAGGCCCGGGAACCCCAGTACAGATGCGGCCAGCCACCCCCGCCTCCGGGGAGGAGGTCCGAGAGGGTCTGCCATCTCCCACCCGCCCCCTAACTCCTGGCCCTGACAGTCAGACACGCCCGGCTCACCCTCCTTCCCCGAGTTGCCCAGTGGCGTCACCCCGAGGCCAGGCCCTGCCACCAGACACCCTCTGAGCTCATGGGGTCACGCGGGCAGCGGGCTGAACCCAGCTCACCTGCGCCACCGCTAC